TCATTAAAGAGATTGAGGAGTGTCAGCATTAGGTCTTCTTTGAATTTCTTGTAGAATTCCGCAGTGAATCCACCTGGGCCTGGGCTCTTCTTTGTTAATAAGGATTAAAATTTCAGTTTCACTAATAGAAATTGGGTTATTCATCAGTTTTACATCTTCTTGACCCAGCTTTGGTACTTCATATGTTTCTAGCAATCTGTCCATTTCTTCTGTGTTATCGAACCTAGGAGAGTAGAGGTTTCTGAAATAGGTGTGGATGATCTGTATTCCCACAGAGTGTGTAGTGATTTCGCCTTTTTCATTCCTTATTGCATTAATTTGAGCTATTTCTTTCCTTTTTTAATAAGGTTGGCTAGGGGCTAGAACCAACTCTTTGATTCATTGATTTTTTGGATTGTTTTCTTAGTCTCTATTGTATTAATTTCTACTCCGATTTTTATAATTTGCTCCCTTCCTTTAGCTTTGGGCTTGACTTGCTCTTCTTTTTCTAGATGTTTGAGGTGTAGCATCAGGTTGTTTATTTTTATTCATTCTGTTTTCCTGATGTGGGACTCAGTGCAATAAATTTTCCTCTGAGGACCGCTTTCATTGCCTCCCACATATTCTAGTAAGTTGTATTTGTATTTTCGTTTGCTTGTAGGTATTGTTTAATTTTTTCTTTGATATCGTCTGGGACCCACAATTTCCATACGTTTGTGGGGTTTTTGCATTATCTTTTATCATTAATTTCTAGTTTCATGACATTATGACCTGATAACATGCATGGGATAATTTCAACTCTTTTACATTTATTTAAATATGTTCTGTGAGCTAGTATATGTTCTATTTTAGAGAATGTCCTATTTGCTGCTGAGAAGAATGCATATTCTGATGTTGTTTGATGGAACACTCTGTATATGTCTATCAAGTCCATTTGTTCACAGGTGTGATTCAGTTCTGTTTTTTCTTTTTTTTTTTTTTTTTTTTTGCTGATTTTCTGTTGGTTGAACTGTCCCTTGGTGTCAATGGTGTCTTAAGGTCTCCTATTATAATTGTGTTATTGCTAATTTGAGTTTTCATTTCTATTAATACTTGCTTTGTATAACTGGGTGCTCTGAAATTTCGTGCTTATATTTTTAAAGTAGTTATCTCTTCAAGTTTTCCCCTAACCAGTATGTAGCGACCTTCTTTATCTCTTATGATCATTCTTGATTTGAAGTTCACATTGTCTGCAAACAGAATAGCTACCCTTCTTTTTTTTCTGTTTCTGTTGCATGAGGTATTTTTTTCCATCCTTTGACTCTGAGTCTCTGAGTTTCCTTTGGGGTTAGATGGGTTTTCTTGCAGACAACATATGGTTGGATGTTGCTTCTTGATCCATTCTGCCAGTGTGTTTCATTTAATTGGTGAATTGAGACCATGTACATTAATGGTTATAACTGTTATATATTGGCTTATTGTTGACATGTTATCTTTCTTTTTTTTTGTCTTTTTCTTTTTTACCAGGGATAGGACTCATGACCACACACTTGCAAGGCAGGTGCTTATGCCGCTGAGCTAAATCCCCTGCACCAACATGTTATCTTTCTGCTGTTGCATCTTTATCTTTCCGTTCTGTTTAGTTGTCCACCTTGCTTAGTGTTTTTTTCTATGTGTATCTAGACTGTCTTTCACTATTCTTTGCAGGATTAGCTTGGTGTTCATAAAGTTCTTCAGCTGTTGTTTGTCATGGAAGTATCTTATTTCTCCATCCACTTTGAAGGACAATTTTGCAGGGTACAGCAGTCTAGGTTGAAAATCCTTTTCCTCTAGGATCTGAAATACTTCACTATATGCTCTTCTTGACTTCATTGTTTGTGTTGAGAAGTCTTCTGTGATTCTGATAGGCTTTACTTTATAGGTGATCTGTCTTTTCTCTCTGACAGCTTTTAATATTCTATTCTTATGTTGGATTTCTGGGATGGTGATTATTATGTGTCTGGGTGTAGTTTTGTTTTGCTTATGGCTATTTGGAGTTCTATATGCTTCACTTATCCTAATGCCAGTTTCCATTCTCATGTTTGGGAAATCTTCAGCTATTATTTCTGTGAATAGCCTTGATATCATTTGTGGTGTTCCCTTTTTTCATTTATCCCTATCAATCTTATGTTGTTTTTCTTTGCATCATCTTGCAGCTATTGAATTGTTATTTCCTGATTCCTTGTTATTTTTAAAAGATCTTTCCTTTCCTGTTTACTAGCTGCAATCTTGTCTTCGAAGTCTGAAATTCTGTGTTCATTTTTGTTGAGTCGGTTTTGACAACTTTTGAAGGAATGTTTGATTTCCTGTATGTCTCTTTGAATCTGCTTCATGTCTTGTTTATTTCTTAAATTGTTCATCCACACATTCTATCCTTTGTTTTCTTTCTCTAATTTTTTACCTGTGTCTTCTTTAGATGTCTTCTGCATCTCTTTCATTACTTTTATCATTTCTTCTTTTTCTGGGTGATTACGTCTAGTTTGAATTCCTTTAAAGCTTTCTGGAGTTGCTTCTTTATTTCAGTTGCTATTATTACAGGTATTTCACAGGTATGTCATATATTTTCTTCTGGGCTTTCTTGGGATGGGCTGGTGGTTTGAGATTGCATTTTGGTCTTTCGTTTTGTCATTTTCCTATATTTCTGTGTTCCAAGGCTTCCCCTGGATATGTTGGAAATCGTCTCCTGTACCCTAGGCTTCTGGGACTGAGTGGAGGTTCCTCAGCATGGTTCTGTCAGGCCGTCAGTCCCTCCCATGCCACCTTCAGTATTCCAGGTAGCTACCTCTGGTTCAGCAGGCATCTAACCTCTGTGGATGATGGGCTAAAGCTTTGGCCCTGGCAAAGACCAATGCCCTGGAACTCACTTCACCTGCTCTCAACTCCCATAATTGAAGAAGGTTGCTGGGTGTAATATATTCAGTCCATAAAACCTCCCAAGGCTAGTCTAGTGTGGCTGGGAGCTGGGCGGATCCTTGAGCTCTGGGAGCCATAATCTTAAAATCTCCTGGGGCTTGGAATGGCGAATCTTATTGATTTAAACTATTATAGCTGTTTTATTGTTAATATAGCATGATACCTTAATAGATCTTTAAAGCCCATGCTCTGGCACTAGACTGGCTCCTCTTTATGCCCTTCTGCAAGTGATCATGTAGGTTCTGTCTCAGCTTTCATCACTGTGAGGGTCTGACAGGGTAAAGGAGTAAATGGTTTAATTGTCAGTTGGGTATGATGGTGCATACTTGTTTTTCTAGTACTGTGAGAAGTTGAGGCAGGAGGCTTGCAAGTTTAAACCTATTCTGGGCAACTTAGTGAGATCCTGTGTTAGAAAAAAAAAAAAAAAGAGTAAGAAACAAAAGGGTTGGAACATATTGTGAAGGCTCTAAATTTGATCCCTTGTACCACAAGAAAATGTGTTAAGTGTTCAATATAGTGCATGATATATACTAAGTGCCAGTGTTACTTATTAATTTGTTGATTTAGAAATTTTATTTTGCTGTCTCTGCAGTTGTCATTTGTTTGCACAGAAAATGCTTTATTGGATAGTATACATTGAACTGTCTGGCAATGAAAACAAGTTACATTGCAGGAAAACCAAATACCACTTAAATTATAACAAACGTCTAATATCTTTAGTATCTTTTTTAATATGAAAAACAGTCGAAAAGAAATTTGTTACACTGGAACTTATAAAGAAAAAGAAAATATACATACATATTTACATATATCCCAGGTGTTTGAGAAAGAAGTCTCACTGACTATAGTAGCATATGCCTGTAATCTCAGCTACTTGTAATGCTGAGACAGGAAGGTCAAAAATTCCAAGCTGGCCTTGGGCAATTTATCAACACTCTATCTCAAAGTGAAAACATAAAAAGGACACAGATTGTGGCTCAGTGCTCCTAGGCTCACAGGAGGGAAGGAGGGAAATCAGTAAAATCCCAATATGACTGTACAAGGGAACTTTTCAGATTAACAGTGTAGACTTAGTAGGTGGAAGGTGAGATACAGAACTAAAGATAGTTATAAAACAGTAATACAAACTTTTATAAAGTGTCTGAAGCTACGAAGTAAACTAAGTTTCTAGAGACCCTTTAAAGACAACATCAGTAATTTTTAAAAATGATACTTGAAATATGATTAACATTTCAAAAAAAAAGTTCCAGTATCAAATTTTTAGGTGGGGTGGAACCATCACTTTACATTTTGCTAGTGAGTTGGAAAAGGTGTAATATTAGTATAAAAATTATACAATGACAGGCAACTAGTATGTGTAACATCTAACCACTTTAAATGTATTTAATTTTCAAGTTAGTTAAGTTAGAAAAATATTAAAAACATTTCCTTAATTTGAAGAAAGTTTTTGGTATATTGCTGATAATATGTATTAGTAAAGTATTTAAATGTAGAGTAAGTAGGTATATTTGTTATAGTTAGATTTGTAATAAATTAAAATCCAAAACAATTTAGATTAACATCATGCTAGAGAGAGATCTTCAAAATATTACAAAAGATTGTCTCGGTTCCCTCTCAATGTTTCCATTGCCAATCTAGCTAAAAACATAAAGTTATCTGCTCATAACTTGTTAAAGCCGAGCTTGGATAGCTGAAACCATAGAAGACAATAAAAAAAGATGCCCCTAAAACCTTTCCTAATAAATCTACTGCATTTTTATATTTCCTTTTCCTACCATACTTAGCATATAATTTTAATTCATAATTTAGGTATTCCATGAAGATGGTTTTTTTTTGTTGTTGGTTTTTTTTTTTAATCGGTACCGGGGATCGAACTCATGACTGCCTACTTGCAAGACAGGTGCTTATGCCGCTGAGCTAAATCCCCAGCCCCTGATGGTTTTAATTTTTATCTTCCCAATATTTTTACTAAATTACTGTATGAGTTTTGTGCATTCCCTGTGCTACCATAATGTCATTACAGATTTAATGATAATGAACTGAAAATTGGAAAGATTTCTACATAAACTGTATATTCTTATGTATTCTAGGAATATGAAGCACGAACAGGGAGAACTTGTAAACCATCGACTCAGGCCTCAAGATGTAAAAATTTTGAATTTGAGCCACTTTCTACCACTGCCCTGATTCTTGAGGATCGGCCATCGTACGTACAGTATTTAGTGATCATCAGGAGCACCATTTATATTTTAAATACAGATTTAATTTTGTTCACTATTTCACTTAAAAAATATCAAGAAATTAAGTACGGAAAGGATTTTTTTTTTCAAAAATTTTAAAATCCCAGTGATATATTCTAAAACAGGGAAGAACATATTGTTGATGGGGAAGCCTTACGCTTATTTTCTAGAAGTCTCCATGAGTCAAAATATGAAACAAAATCGCTGCTTTTGCCAGGTGTGACAGTACATAGCTGTTGTCCTAGTTACTCTAGAAGGTGAGGCAGAAAAATTATCTGAGCCAACAAGTTAGAGACAAGTCTGGCCAACATAGTGAAACTCTTCAGAAAAACAAAATAACTCAAAAACAAAAACAAACGTTCACTGTTTCAACAATTTCCTCCTTATCTTACATAATAGGGCCATTATTTTTCTTTCTTGACATTTAATATGTACAGTACTTAAGATGTATTTGTCCTTGCCTTTTACATCATGTAATTGCTGAGTGTTAACTAGTTGACTTACTATTATTGTTAAGAATCTATTCTTAGAGGCTGGGGATATAGCTCTGGGATGGAGAATGTGCTTAGCTTGCACAAGGCTGGAGATTCAGTTCTCAGCAAGCATTATTCTTAATATATCTATCAAAACACCTTTCATTCTTTTTTCCCAGCTTTGCCCTTTACATTGTGTAGAGTGGCTGTTGTCCTTCAAAATATTGTCTTATTTATCATTAAAAATGCAGTTTTTTAAAAAATGGACTTCCCTTTACTAATGTATGAAATGAGAAGGTGGGGTAGAAATGTTTTGCATGTAGCTCTGAAAAAGTAATGTGTAATTTTAATACTAATCTTTTAGAAATTGGCTTGACAAAGTAAATTTTTGTTCCAGAAATCTTCCTGCTAAGTCTGTGGAAGAAGCATTACGTCACCGACAAGAATATGATGAGATGGTGGCCGAAGCTAAAAAACGAGGTATAAATTCTTTTTGTTTTCTTTTTTCTAATTTTCATTTTATTAGTACATGTTTCTAGTATATAATGATCACATTTAGTTGGGACTTGGTATGTGTATATAACACATCCTAATTCTTTTTCATTTTCTACCCCTCACTCTTTAAACTTTAGACCTGCTTCTTCATTTCTCTGTCCTGTTAAAGCTCTGTCTCCATTTTTTTCTCCCAATTCTTTTTTCCCCCTTTCTATCCCTTCCCAACCCCATCTCTTCATCTGTTGTTCCTCTTCCCATTTGAAAAAGGTCCCTTACCTCCTATTACTTGTCTTTTGCTCTTTATTTATATTTTGGGTTTCTCATAATAAGATGTGACATTTAAACTTGTGTGTCTGACTTGTTTCACTTAATATTATGGTCTCCATATGTATCCAGTTTCAAGGTATGTCCATTTTTATCTACAGATGACTCAGGGTTATTTGTTAAGACAGAGTAGCACTTCATTATATATAAATACCACATTTTCTTTATCTGTGAATTTCTTGATTGACATTTAGGCCATTTACATGAATTGTGTTGTTGTAAATATCCATGTATCACTGTAGTATGATGTTTCTAACCCCTTTCAGGAAGCTTCCTAGAAAAGGAGTGACTGGTCAAGTGGAATTTCTAGTGTTAGTTTTTTGAGGACTGTCCATACTGATTTTTATAGTAATTGTACTAGATTACGTACCACCAACAATTCCTTTTTTCCAGTAGCCTTCCAGCATTTGTTATTCTTTGATTTTTTTGATATAGCTGTTCTTTCTGGAGTAAGATGGAATCCCAATGTTGTTTTAATTTGCATTTCTTTAATGGCCTGAAATATCAAAAGGTTTTTCATGTATTAAGTTCTTTCTGTATTCTAGATTAGTCTCCTGTCCAAAGAATAGCTGGAAAAATTGTTTTTCCACTCTTTTGGAGAGGTGGGTACTGGAACTTGAACTCAGAACCTCATTCTTGCCAGGCAGGCATTATGCCACTGAGCTACATCCCCAGCCCCCATTTTTCCATTCTGTAGGTTGTCTCTTTACTGTTTCTTTTGCTGTGCTAAAGCTTGTAAGTTGATATATGCTATTTATTGGTACTTGGAACCATCAAAGCTGGTTCTGAAAGTCCTTGCCTATGCCTGTGTCTTTCAAGAGTTTTACCTATTTTATCTTCCAGCAGATTGTTTCTGTTTAAGTTTTTGATCTACCTTGATTTTTAGTGTACTACATTGTGAGATGCATGGATCTATATTCAGTTTTCTGCATGTGGATAGCTAGTTTTCTCAGCACCTTTTATTAGAGAGGCTCTCCTTTCTTCCAGTATGTTTTCCTGGCCCCTTTATCAGAGATCAGATAGCTGAATGTACCAGGGTTGTATCTGCTTCCTTTGTTCTATTTCATTAATCCACGTCTGCTTTGTGCCGGTACCATGCTGTTTTTATCTCTGTAGCTTCGTAGTACAACGTCATATCCAAGACTGTGATGTCTCTTGCTTTGTTTTTGTTATTTAGGATTGCTTTTGCTGTTTTGTGTATATGAATTTTGCTATTTTGTTCTATATGAATTTAGGGTAATATAAAACTTAATTAACTTCAGAGCCAGGTGTAGTGGCAAACGTGTAATCTCAGCACGCTGGGAAGCTGGGGCAGTTAGAGCCTAAAATTGAGTCCTCTCTGGCCAATTAAGGAAGACCATGGCTCAAAATAAAAATGCAAACTAGGACTGTGATCAAATACGTATGTGGTATAACTTACTTTTTATTGGTTTATATTTTATTTAGTAGTACATGTTTGCAGTACATGAAGTTATATTCATCTCAGGGGGTGTAGGTACATGTACATAATAAAGTTTGTTTCTTTTTAAATCCTTTACCCCTTCCCACTCACCTGCCTCTTCCTGCCATTTTCATTCTTCTGCTTCTTCTTCTTTTTTTTTGGTACCTGGACTCAAACTCACAACCTTGTACTTGCCAGGCAGGTGCTTATACCACTAAGCTGAATCCCCAGCCCTCTTTTTTATTATTCTTAGCTCATGTTTATGACATATAATGCTAACGTTCACTAAGGTCATTAGGTGTCTGTACAAAACACATTTTAAGTCTTCTTACTTGCCCTCTTCCTCTTCACTATCAGGCTCCTGGACCCTTTCCCATTTGCACAAGAGATTTTCCCCTTGTTTCCTTCTATCTATTTTTTTAATGCTCTTTGTACTGTGTCTTATTCAAATGAGATTAATTTACTGACTTTAACAAATTAGTTTTTATAGAAAGACAGCTAGTGAAAATCAGGTCTATCCTCAAGGAGATAGCAAATTCTTGTTTATGTCTTCTACTTTTTAATTAGATTTTTTTTGTTTGTTGGTTTTTTTCATTGCTGAGATTGGACCCCAGGCCTTGTAAGTACTTTTGAAAACTAATACAGGCAAAAGGCAGCAGACTATCTACAAAGGTCTTAAAATTATAATTATAAAACTTGGACTGTTAACTCTATACATGAAGATATTCATGAATGTATTTGTGCATTTTATTTTTTCAAATGCTTAGTCTTGATTTTATAATTTTTGACTTTAATATTGCAAGATAACTTTCTATATGGCAATGATAATATAATTTAAAGCTAAAATTTGTTTTTATGACTTAATAAAGTCTCCCCAGAGTCTCACTTTTCTCATTTAATGAATATAAATTTACATATTTTATTCATTTTCTTCTCCAACCAAAAAATAAGGATAATTTATTATTTATTGACTGTGTTTAGAATAAATATACATTTTTAGAAGATATTACACAGCTACCTATGTTTTTAGACCTATGCCTTAATAATAACATTGTTCTTTCTTTGACTTAAGTGAATAGAATATTATAATAGTATGCCATTTTGCTTTATATTAGTTTGGGAAGTAAAGTTCTTTTTATATGTTAAGCAGGATGCTTAAGGCCAGTATTTTTAAAGGTTTCTAAAATGCCTAATTCATTAAACATTAACTGAGTTTAATTTACTCTACAGAATTTTATAACTTACTATATTATTGATTTTTTAAAAAATTTTTGAGATCACCTTTTCTATCTAGTCTAAGGTGGCCTTGAACTTGAAATCTTGCTGCCTCAGCCTTCAGAATGCTGGGATTATAGACATGTGCCATCATGTCTGGCTGATTCTTAACACTAGCTTTACTATTTTATTAAAATGTAAGGTAATTATTGTTACATAGATGATCTTGAATGGGGACAGAAGAATGGATGGAGAGGGAAGGAGAAATAAAAAAAGGACTAAGATGTATGTATACCAATTCCTTAGGATAAATGTATACATTGTGTATTGCAAACATGTACTTTTTTAAAGTAAATGATCCCCAAAACATAACAGGATAGAAGTAAATATTAATTTAATAAATTTAATAAAATTGGAAAACCAGAAGGCTATAGCTTGAATACTGTTTAAAATTACCTGACTATAATATTCTGAAGAGGCCTAGAGTTAGGAGGTTTACTACATCAGGTTTTTTAAGCCTCTCCTTCAACAGATTTTATTTTTTTAACTAGTGGAGTCTCCCAAAGCTTCTTACATAGACTCTGAATACATAAAACAAAAGTTAATAAAGTTGTTTACTTGATCTGCTGCTTGCCTGTAAAGATAATTTCTAAGAAATATACAAAACATAGTTTAAAAACAGTCTGATTAACAATTCTCTTAAGTCCTCACTGGTTGTAGAATTATACATATATTATTACTCACATCTATATAGTATTTGAAGTTCCTTTTCCTTCAAAATTGTGACCCATGGTTTGGTAGAACTGTATTATTTTTTGTGTATGTGTTTTTGAAGGAAAGTTTTTATTTCTCTTACAGCATACTAAAAAGGGTTTATCTACTAATTGTACCATTGGCAAAAATCATTTTTAATGTCATGTGGTTTGTTAGGAGATTCTTAAACTCTTTGTATGAAAGACAGATATTGATTTTCAGGGTGTTTATTTTTTACATATTTAATTCACAATAGATTACTTTGTATTTTAAGTAAAAGAAATATATGATAGAAAAATTCACTGAAGTCATTTGTCTGATCTTTCTTCCATTTAAGATGTTATTGTAAAAGCATGTTAATTTTCTTTTTCTTTTCTTCCCTTCCTTCTCTTCCTCTCTACTATCCAGAGATTCCACTTGAGAAATCCTCTTTTATGAGTTAAGTAGAAGAAAAGGGGGTTTTGATCTAACTCGTTTGTATTGAAATAATTCTTACTTATTTAAAACAGAAATTAAAGAAGCACATAAAAGAAAAAGAATGATGAAAGAACGATTTAAACAGGAAGAAAATATTGCAAATGCAATGGTAATTTGGATCAATGAAATACTACCCAATTGGGAAGTAATGTAAGTAAGCAGACTTTTCCTAAATTTTAGGTATCGCCAAAGACCTTGTCTTTGTACTTTTATTACTTAGCATGTATCTTGTTCTTTGGCTAAGTTATACTATTAACCAATGCCTGAAAAATCTCCATGCTTATCTCTTTTGCTTTTGTAAGTCCTTTAGGCTCTAAGATACACTTCTCTCACCATCCTTTGTGCCTTTCAAAACTCTTTATCTATTCTTTGAGACACAAACAGAATGCTAATTGATTCATGAATCTTTCAATTTGTTCAGTTACCATATTTTCTTAGTTCTAATGTACCATTAATTGTAAAATGCACTATTGATGTAATATTGAAAAGAATGTATTAAATCATATATATTTATTATAAGATGTATTTATCAATTGTTAAATACTGAAATATTTTTAATATACTTGCTCATCAAGAATCACATTATTTATAGTCTTTCCCTTCTGAAAATGTCCCACCATTGAAACTGTTATACTTCTTGCTTTATATTTCCTTTAATTTTTTGCATATGGATGGAGGGGTGGGGATATCTCAACAATGCCTAGTATAGCATATATACTGACAATTTATTGAATATTGACTGTGTGACAGATATAGCTGTTCCCTTTATTTACTTTCACTTTCTACAGTTACAGTTACTTTATGGTAACTGAAAGTATTAGATAGAAAATTCTAGAAATCCATAAAACATCATCTTTAAATTGTGTACCATTCTGAGAGGATAATGAAACCTTGTGTTGTTCTGCTCTGTCCCCACTGACTAGTATATCCATGCTGTATCCACTGTCTCCCCATTAATTACTTAGTAGGATTTCATTTATTAGATCTACTATTATGATATCAAAACAATCCTTACTTACTTACTTAATAATGGTCCCAAGCACAGAGTAGGGATGCTGGCAGTTTAGATGCTGACCTTTAAGTGAAGACATTTTGAGGCAAAGACAGACCACATTTACATAACTTCTATTGCAGAGTATATGTTATAACTGTTCTTCTTATTATTAGTTCCTGTTAATCTCTTACTGTGCCTGATTTATAAATTCAGCTTTATCATGGGTATGTATGTGTAGGCAAAAAATGTAGTATCACTGAATTTGGTACTAATCATAATTTCAAGCATCCACTAAAGGATTTGGAATTTATCCCCTGCAGATTGGGAGGAAGAGGTACTATTATATTCTTTTAGGGTCTTTACATAAGTAATTGCTTTTTTATCCTCACAACTTTTATAAGGTATATGTATGTATTTTTTACTCAAATATTTATCTTACAGGGAAGCTTATGGCTAGAGAGGTTAAGTGATTTGCCCAAGGTTATACAATTAGTGAATGACTAGACTAGATAAGTCTGACTCTAAAGCCTACACTCAGATTCAAAGCCTAGTGCTTAATCCAAAGTAAACTGTAATTTTTTATTTGACTGAATTGACAAAACATTTTTACATCCCTTTTATCCTATGTTTTGGGTAATTATATATTTTTGATTTATTGTATAAATGACATCTCCCAAAGGCAACTCCCTTTAAAGTACCGTTATTTGAGATAATACATATTTTGTAGGCTTTTCTTGCTTGTATACATGAAAACCAAAGGAAGAATGCATTATGTACTTAACTCTCTGTGTTCTTAAAAATAGTCTGACCACTTGGTCATAGGTAAATCATCATGCAACTAGTATTTTTGGTATAAAAAATAACACTCTCTTTTCTCTCCTCCTTTAATTCTAGGCGTAGTACAAGAAGAGTTCGAGAATTGTGGTGGCAGGGATTGCCCCCTAGTGTTCGTGGGAAAGTTTGGAGTCTAGCTGTAGGAAATGAACTAAATATAACTCCTGGTTTGTATTCTATGTTTAGTTATTCCCACACATACAAATAGTCATCTCCAGAGTTATAAAGCAGATTAATAGAATGCCATTTTAAAAAGCACTACCGTAAATATTATTTTGTGAGCATGCTTCACCCTCCATATGATTTAATGTTACCATATTTCATATTACATAAAATGTTTTTTAGTTTATAACTGTTGATAATAATCTTGACATAATATGCTGAGCATAGGTAATGTCAAACATTTCTGAGATTCTTGTTTGTTTGGTTTTTTTGTGGGGTTTTTTTTTTTTTTTGTCATTTTCATTTTTATCGGTACCAGGGATCGAACTCACGACTGCCTGCTTGCAAGGCAGGCGCTTATGCCGCTGAGCTAAATCCCCAGCCCACTTCTGAGAGTCTTTATGGCATGGATGAGTAACTGTATATCAAGAAAAAGAAATAATCTTTTGAAAAAATGTGTTCTTTCTCAAAAAATATAAATGATGGGGAATTTATTTTCCTCCTCTATCTAAACTTATCTTTTTGGAGTTCTTTTTTAATTTAAAATTTTTAATGTTTAAAAAACAGAAAAAGAAGTAAAGAGATTTTCAAGGAGTTCTCTTAGGTTTCTTAACAGAAATTTAGAGTAGTTTTAATGAATTAAAAATATTTAGGTAGAATTAGGATCATAACAAACTGAGGGAAATAAGAAATTTTAAAAGGTGCTAAATTGGTCTTAGTGATAACGTTAATAGTAGATAATATACTATACCACAAAAAGAGGTAGATTGCTTAGTAATAGAAATAATATATTGCTTCTGTTACTTTTAAGTATTTTCTTTTCATGGTTATCAAAAAAATGCAAACAGGGTCTTCATCCAAACTTTTTTTTTCATTTGTTTGTTGTGATAGGGTCTCACTATATAGTTCAGGCTGGCTTTGAACTCCTAGCGATTCTTCTGCCTCAGCATCCTGAGGGCTGGGATTACAAACTCCTATTCTTGATCCTATTGTAAGCATTATTAGCAATTTGGTATATGATTTTCTAGATCTTTTTCCTATGTGCATAAAAAGTGCGCAGATATATATACATATATATATATATATATATATATATATAAAACATTTTTAAAGTTTTTCTTTATTTTTCTAAAAAAAGGAGTTTATGTCATAAAATGATTCTGTGGCTTGCTTTTTTCATGCTAATCTTTCTTGAGTATCTGATGCCAGTATCCTCAAGTATCCCTCATATATATTTTAGTAACATTGTATTCCACCATTTGGCTATTCTATTTATTTTTATTGTGCTAACCAAATCAAACATAAATGATTTGTTTGTTTGTTTATTTTTTGTTCTTGAGACAGGGTCTGGAAATGTAGGTTAGACTGGCCTGAACTCATTGTGTAGTTGAGGCTGGCCTTGAACTTGCTGTGATCCTCCCAAGTGCTGGGATTTCAGGCATGCGCTACATGCCAGGCAAAGATACATGTTAAAACAATATAAAATATTTTTTTGTCTCTCAAAACAGATAAAGTGAATGAGAACTATCTAGATGGAATGTGACTAAAGATAATTTAAAAATTTTTACCAAAAGTCTGAAAAAATAACCTCTGAATGACTTATTCCAGTTCTAAAAATTTAAAGATATAAGCAGGATTGGGTGCAGAACTTTTTCCTTGAGGACATTCATTGCAGCAATCGGCATTTATTAATTGGCCAAAACTATAACAAAAATTAAATATTTAACCTTAAAAGTGATGTCAACTTTGGATATAATTATGTATGATTTTTTTTCTTGTTTGGAACTGAGGATTGAATTCAGTTACTTCACACTGAGCTATATCACCAGGGTTTTTGATTTTTCCAAATAGAGTCTTGCTAAGTTGCTAAATCGCCCACAGTGGGCTCAAACATGTGATCCTTCTGTCGAAGCCTCTCAGACTGCTAAGATAAGAGATATTCATCATCATTCCTAGCTAAAGAGTACATATTATTTTTTAACTGACTTTCACAGTTATCCTGTAATGAAAACTAACTTTTAAAAACTTTTATAATGGAAGAGTTAAAAATTTTACTTTCAAAAAAGGTAGATTTTATATGACTTAACTAGTCTCATCAAACAAAATAGTGGGTTTTTTTCTTTCCTTTATGTGGCTGGAACAGATTCAAAAGAAATGTTATTTAGATTACAGTCAGAGCTTTCAGTTAGATTTTTTTTTTCAGTTAGATGTTTTTAAAACCTTGATGGGTGGGTGGTATTTGCAATTCTTTTGTTTGCAGTTTTTGTTTAGTTGTTGTTGATAGCTTTGGCTTTAGAATATGAGTTACCTTGATTATTTAGACATTAAAATATTGGCTAAATAGGTATAAACATTGTGACACAGTAATTTTTAAGCTGGATGTATTGACACATACCGTAATCCCAGAACTCTGGGAGGCTGATGCAGGAAGGTTATAAATTCAAGCCCAACTTGGGTGATTTAGGACAAGTGTAGTGACTTAGCAAGACTAAGTCTATAGTTATAAAATGAAAAGCTAGGATTGTAACTCAGTGCAGGGGCCCTAGAATCAGTAGCATACTTATACACACAAACTTTTAAACAATTTTTGCTTATTCTGTGAAAAAATGGAATAATGTCATAATCACATAATAGTACAATAGTGGTTATACTGTATATTGTTGTCTTCATAGTACAAGTCCTAAACCAAAAAGATTCTTACAAAAAAGAAACATAATAACACAAGTTTTCTTTCTAACAAATTCAGATAAACATAGTATAAATGAAATTAGCATATATATTGAAATATTTTTAAAATAATGGAATATGTGATTTGGAGAAGTATTTGAACTTGTCCTTTCTGTTTAGCTCTCTTCTATTTTGCTCCTTGTGTATGTATTTTCCTTTTTAAATTTGAAATTTATAAAGTGTATATGATAATCATTTTTTTTCAAAGTAATTTTAGGTTAGGGGCTGGGGATTTGGCTCAGCGGCATAAGCACCTGCCTTGCAAGCAGGTGGTCATGAGTTCGATGCCCGGTACCAATAAAAATGAAAAAGACAAAAAAAAAAAGTAATTTTAGGTTTTCTCCATTAAACATATTTAGAATTGGATTCATTCTTTTTCAGTGATGAGAAAGACACCAACTTTTGATTTATGTAAATTTTGTATAATTATTTATTTTGAATACTCTTAATAATTAGACCTTTTTATTTGTTTTAATTATGAAATTTATAGCTCTAAAGTCAGTCAAATATGATTCAAATCTTGGTTTCACTATGATTAGGTTTGTGACCTTGGGCAAATTACTTAACATATAGAAGTCTTATTTTTCTTCATCTGTAAATGGGAATAAGATCATGAGGTAGCACAAAAATTATTTTAACAGTTATTTGTGATAGTGAATATAAAATTTATAATGAAAGTGCTTTCTGTTGAGTATAAATATTATTACAAAATCAGAAAGGAAAACACACTGAAATCAAAGTAGTCTCTGTTCAAGTATAAATTACTCTGTTCAAGTGTAAATTACTATCTTCTTTGCAGTTATAAAATACAATGTAAGGAACCAAGCATGGAATTAAAATAAAGTGCATTTTTTCTTATTAGAAAAAGTATTACCACATTATCATTATAGGATCAATTTTATGGCTTCCAAAGTGACGGATATGTTTGCTGAGCCTTTCTTCTTTCAAGATAGTTTTTTATCTCACATCCCCCTCCCTCCATGTACTAGGTGTCAAACCAGTTCCTGTTCAGGTTAGGCAAGCACTTTACCACAGTCATATCCCACCCCTTCCAAAGCCATTTTAAAATTTAGATAGAATAATGAAACTTATCTGACTTAGTTTGATGCAAAAAAAAGGGTGAACTGACATTGCATAAAGCCCTGAATTTAATCCCTAAGACCAATCCATTACAAACAAACCTCTTACAAAACAAACAGACCCCTTATGAGTTAATACCCAATAATCCCAAATCACTGTACATATAAATTTTATAATTATATTTATGTCTATGAAATCATTTTATAGGGTTGGACAAAATTAATAGAAACTTTAGACTTTAGAAAGTTTGACTTCTAAATTTTTTTCAAACTCTTAGTAGTAGTAAAAAATGAATAGAAAGGAGAAGAATTTAGTAATGTTTGGAATATGTCTAGTCCAGTGGTGGTGAACCTGTCCTGTGACACATGTGCTACAGCAAGCTGATTGTATCATTAAAAACTCTGTAAAATGTTCACCATCACTGATCTAGTCAGTTATTTTATAATCAGATTCTTGGCAATAGAGGAACACTTCTATGATAGTCATACACTGAAATATTGTGGAGTTATTTGAAAAGAAACAAAAACAGCTTTGCATCTACTAATGTAGAATAACTGCTAATATAACAAAGATACAGATCAGTGCATGTAATATGTTTCCATTTTGTATGTTTTTTTAAAAGGAAGATATATATGTATATACTTATACATGTATGTTTTTAATCTTTGTAAGAGTTCATGAGAACTATGGTAAGCACAGTTGCATCTGAGAGAAGGAAATTATTTTTCATTACATACTGTTTTGTACTATGTGTATTTTTTTAGAGACCATGTTCATATTTGACCTTTAAAAAGAAATAATTTTTTAAAAATTCATTCAAGCAAAAAAAATGTTCTTGGTATTTTAGACAACATATAAGTATTGCTGTTGGGTAAGAAATAGCTTTTGGTCTTCAGTTACTGAAACTTATCATTTCAGATATCTGTAATGGTTAGCTAGAAAGTCAAAATAATTAAAATCTGAGAATTTGGAAAAATCTTCCTGAAGTTTTATGAGATTGTGATATAGAGTCATAGTGATATTCCCAAAAAGTGAATGACAGGGACTCTAAAGTAAAAAGATAAGAGAGATTTTTGTATTTGGACCAAACTGTGAAGTATACGTAGCTTTAGATAGTAATATCATATTGGAAAAACCAATTTAAGAAAAGCAAGGTTACATTTATTGAAGGCCTATACGTTGAGTTACATAAAATAATTGTTTAATAATAAGTAAAACCATGAGTAGGTGTTAGTTTTTTTCATTTTATAGATGAAGGAAGCCAAGTTTAGACTGGCTAAGTTTTAAAAGTCATACAGGTAATCAGGCATGGTGGCATAGGCCTGTAATCCCAGTACTTGGGAGGAAGAGGCCAGAGGATCACTGTGAGTTTGAGCCCGGCCTGGGATACATAGTGCATTCAAGGCCAGCCTGGACTACATGGTGAGAACTTGTCTCAAAAAACCAAATTAAATAAAGTCCTACAGGTGGCAGTTAGAATATGAATCAAGGTCTGTTTGACTCCAAAAGTTATTTTTCTGCTGTTCCACAATGATACTCCATTAGCAGAAACATCTCTTTCTGCTTCATGCATGCATTCTACATCGTATCTATCTGGATGTGTGGATAGTTATTCTCCATTAGTTTTATTTGCTGTCTTTCTGGTTATGTAATGGATTGTTTTGGTAGAGTTAAATGCTTCAATTTTCTACTTTTTTGGTATCTATTATATTAGAGACTTGACCTGTAGTAAGTGAAGAGTAAAAATTAAAATACATGAATATATTCTTTTTACTTACGAATTTTTTTTTCCTTAGAACTTTATGAGATCTTCCTATCAAGAGCAAAAGAACGGTGGAAAATTTTCAGTGAAACAAGTTCAGAGAATGATATAGAAGGTGTGATTTTTTTAAAAAATAATAATTACAGGATGAAAATCTAGTTCTGAAGACAGTAGTTTGATTTTATACCAAGTATCAGGAACTGTGGTAACTTTTTTATAATTATCTCATTTAACCATTAACTTTTTAGTAGATACTGTCCTGAATTACAGAAGAGGAAACTAAGAGATAGTAACTTATAATTAGAGAAGCTAGATATAAACCGGGTTTATTGTACTCTGGAACCAAGGATTTAAATTATGACAGGTAAATGGAATGAAGTGCTTTTAGGCCAATCAGTTTCTAACGATAGATGTTCTCCACACCTCATTTGTGACCTCTTGTCTTTCTTACTCCCTAAGTTATTTATAAATCTTATTGTGCCTTATTCTTTGTTCACTTAACTCACTCATGGCCCCATCTTTCCCTTACTCTTGTCAGTTTGGTTTTTCCCAACATTTTAAAGGAAACAAAAGCATTTGTTTTTCCCTCATCATAGTTTATTACATTTAAATAAATTTATTCCAACAATCTATTGACCTTGAATATTGGGGCAGCAATTTTTTTTGGTCAGTTGCTTTTCTCTTTTATATGCTTTACTTCATATAGAAATAAAACAAAATAGAAATCAAACCCTCTTTTCTTCCTTACAAATAAAACCCTACAATGAACCAGATGTGATAGTGCATGCGTCACACCAGAATGCTGGTGTAATCCCAGCACTGGCAGGCTGAGGCAGGAGGATCTAAGCTAGAGCACAGTCTTGGCAACTTACCAAAAACATGTCTTAAAAAATTAAAAACGGATGTAGGTCTTGGGCTCAATATCAAGTGCCGCCACCCCCCTCAAATGAAAAACCAAATCTCTAAATAGGAGCACAGCTTTTGTAGTGGCTTTCTATAAGTATATGAAAGTTTTAAAAAAACTTTTTTCTGTTGTAGAAAAGTGAACATTAGGATAGAGAAAACTGATTAAAGAAGGGTAGAGAGAAAATTTGGTTTCCAGATTCATTTAATATGTGAGCTATTTGTGGGGAACTGAAAGTGCAAGAAAGGTGACCATGTCAGAAGTTTGCTACCAGTAGAACCTCTGCTATTTCATTATTCTTTCAAAAACCAGTTGTACAAGGTATCAGAATTTTAAGGATTAAAACAATAAGCATGAACTTCTGAGACATTTTGTCATGAATAAATAGTGAAAGTTGTATATCGGTAGAAATTATCTGAAAGAAATGAATAATTATCTTAATCAGAAGTAGTGTTTTATTTAACTTACTGTTTTCTTTTTTTCTGAGCATTTATAATATGCAGTTGTAATTTACTTTTTGGCCATTAGCTTTTCAAATATTGCTTCAGCCCCATTTCTCTCACTCTCTTTCTAACATTCTGGCTATGTATATGGAAGACCATTTAACAATGTCTCAGACTGTTTTTTTAAAAATTTCTTTTCTTCAGTTTGAGTTTTATTAGTCTGTAATCATGTTCATTAATCTTTTCTTCTATTCTGTTCAATATACTATTAAGTCTGTCTGACTTTTTAATTTTAGATATTATGCTTTGTAATTCTATAATGTCCATGTGGTTCTCTTTATACATTCTATTTCTCTGCTGAAATTCTTCATCCATCCATTATCTCTTTTCCCCAGTTCCTTTAACATATATATATATATATATATATATATATATATATAACAGACAACATTCTTGTCTATTCCAAAACTGGATTATCTGAAGGTCTTCTATTGGATAGTTTTCTTCTTGATTATGTCACATTTTCTGCTTCTTTGCATTCCTTAAAATTTTAAATTACATGCTAGACACTATATATGAAAGAAGTATAAAAACTGAAGCTGATGTTTCCCCTCTGGAAGAAGCATGCTGTTTCCTTCTAGGCAGTTGGATGAAAGGTTTATTACCTCAGTTCAATCAGTAATTGAGCTGGTTTATTCATCCCTGGTTTCAAATTTCTTGATGAGAACTGTACTATTTTGAGTACAGGCCTTTCCCTCCAATGAGATGCTCTCCAAAGTACTAAGAGACTGAGTGATTTCATTCTGCCTTTCCAGCCTGACTTTCTATGTTCAGCGAAAGTTCCATGGGGGAAAGAACGCATCTTCTGGAGCCCTATCTATCATATCAGTCTTGTTTGGCCATGAAAAGCTCTTTCAGTTTGTCTTTCCTTAGGCAAGGTAGTAACTCATTCCCAGACATGGCAGGGCCACTAGGAAAAACAAGTGGCCATTGGCCTTTCCCTTTCTGGAATTTAAATCTTACAGACCTTGCTGTATTAGCTGTGATGACTTTTAAAAATGATGCATTTGTAATTACCTGATTTTTTTTTTTTTTTTTTTTTTTTTACTTATCATGGTAAGGATGGTCTGCCCTCCATTCTATAAAAGCTGGAAGCATAATTCCTGTCCTATATACATTTCTGATAAATATGTATTTTCTTCATATAAGTTCTAACAAAAACTATGTGGCATTTCTTGAAATTTCTTGATTATTCAGCTTTTAACTTTCCTTAAATAACACAAATGCTGTGTGATCATTTTGTGTTTACAAAACTGAACTTGTTACAGCCAAGTGATCATTTAAATTTTATTTACTTGGTAAATGCAGGTGTATCTGTTGCTGACCGAGAGGCCAGTCTGGAATTAATTAAGTTGGACATATCCCGTACATTCCCATCTCTCTTCATCTTTCAGAAGGTGAGGGGTTCTAACCAGCTTGTAACTACTTTTTAAAAATATTTCAGTATACAAGGGGACAAATGTTCTAAAATGCACAGCTCTTGTTTTTAAAAAAGCAAAAACTAGAGAGGTAGACATGGAGGCTCACACCTGTACTCCCAGGTACTTGGGAGGCTTAGGTAGAAAGATTTGAAATTTGAGGCCAGTGCTACTTAGCTAGGCCCTAAGTTACAAAATAAAGGTTTAAAAATGTCTAGGGATATAGAATAGTGGTAAAATACTTGCCTAGTGTGCATGCGTGAAGCCCTGGGTTTATTTCTCCAGTACTGAAAACAAACAAAAGGCAGCACTACAAAAATTGGGACCTTTACATTTAATGAATGTAAAACTAATAGGAAAATTTAAAAGAAAATTCTATCATATCATCCCAATGGCTAAAATACATTGGTTATCATGGTATATAATACCTTTTATGTACTTGATATCACCCCTCCTACCATAAGTACTGGTGATTGACCTAAGGAGTGCTGGGTTGTATCTCAAGATATTTCATTTTTTAAAATTTTGAGACAGGATCTTGCTGAGTTGCCCACACTGGCTTCAAACTTGGATCTTCCTGTCTCAGCCTCTTGAGTAGCTGGAATTATAGGCATGTGTGCCATACATTTTTATTACACAGAATTTCTTTTATTTTTCATTCTGTATTGAACTTGTTAATTTTTGCCTAGTAAATGTTAAAATAGAGAACTTAAAATTGTCCCTAAACTTAAAATTTTCCAGAATTATGACTGCAATAGGAATAGTGTATCTACTTTATGGGGAAAATGGTTAACTATTTTCAATTATTATCATTAAAATAGGAACAAATAGTTTACTCATAAGTTGTAAAATTAATAAAAGTGGGATTTAAAAATTTTAAGGTTAAAAGTATTAACACAACTTAATTCAGGTACTTGATAGTTTTCTTTTGATAAATTTGTATTAAATAAAATGAAATGGCTAGGCATATAACCCAGAGTACAGGCTCAGCACACTTGAAGCCCTGGGGTTTTACCGCAATACTACTTAACAAAGAAAAAAAAATCCGTATTCATCATATTCTTGTTGTACCAAATCTAGAAGTCTTTAAATGAGTTTGAGGAGCCAGGAATATAGCTCAGCAGCACAAGTGCCTTACTGGCAAGTGTGGGGTTGTCAGTTTGATCCCTGGTACCAAAAATACAAAACAACTACATATAAACGTGTTTTCCAATTATATGGCATACATCATCAAGTGAGTATATTTGATTTTGTATTTCAGGATTAAAATATCTTTATTAATAATTTTGAAAACATCTTTTCAGAATGCTTTTAGAGTATTTTTGACCATACACTAAAACTAATCATTGAAGAAATGCTACAGTTTTTTTAAACATGTTATATGAAAACTTAAGAGAAAATTATTCACATCATTTCAAATTTCATTTTTCTCTCCTAAGGGTGGCCCATATCATGATGTTTTACATAGTATCTTAGGGGCATATACATGTTACAGACCTGATGTTGGTTATGTAAGTATTCGCTTCTGTTTTTTGAATATAAACCTTTTAACTGACTTATGAAAATACCTTGTTTTATTAGATGTTTATACATAAACATTAAATATCTGTTATCTCTTTCTTGGGCTTATCAAGTTACTTAGAGAAGAAACTCCATCTCTTTCATAAGGGTTTTGTAGGAATGCAGCTAGGGATTTTTTCACCATTCATTTTGTAAAATTCTACTCTCTAACCTTTTTTTCCCTGTCTTTGCCTCTGTAGAAAAATTCTTATGTTCTGCCAGGTTAAGTGAAACACAGGCACTGTCCACACAGGATAGAGATTTGCTACTTTTACTGACTGAGCCAATTCTATTTTTAGCCCTAATCCTCAATTTTAGAGATACCTCAATTTCAATACCTAACACTTTCGAGTTTTTGTGGCTGAATTGGCTTGATTATTGGCTTCCTCCTCTGATCTTTAGTTTCAGCCTCTCCACTTAGTTAAATAAAAATTCTCAAAATACTGTTGACATCTTTTGTCTATTATTTATATTCTTTTCATTCTCTCTGTCCTCTTAATAAGTTAATACTTCAACGATCTTTTCTCTTCCTTCCTTTTCCCCTTCTTTCTCTCTCTGTATGTAATGCAAGGCAGCCTTGAACCTACTCTGGCTGCCTTTCCAGTCGTGACCCTCTGCTTTAGCCTCCTGAATGCTGCCATTACAGGCCTGTGCCTCAGCTGGCTCTCGCTTTTCTCTTTACTATCATTTTGGTTGGGTTTTAGGAGAGAACCAAGAAATATGTAGGTATTCAATTGCCCTGTTTAACTAGAAGTTATAAAAAACCTTCATTTTCTCACTTGTAATAGAATTTTATAAGTCTGGTACAACATACTTGGTTCTGTTGCATTTATTTTTGTTTGTTCATTCATACACTCAAATGTTTATATGCTTATTAACACTACACACTAGGCATTATTCCAATCAGTTGAGATACTTTAGCCAACAAAAGATTATTCCTCTTACAATGCTTACAGTTTAGAAGGGGAGAACAAACAATAAATAAATCATACTATATTAAAAGATGGTAAGTGCTACGGCAAAAATATGGCATAGTAAAGAGAGGAACTGCTAGATTAGGTGTGGAACAAGTTGTATTTTAAAATGTGGTGAGATAGTCTTATAGAAAAAGTATGATGTGAGCAGTCTTTAGATTCTTGCACAGGTGTTCAGTATATGCCTTATGTTTAAGCTGCATTTAAGTTTTTTTCATTATAAATTTAGTTATGATTCCATTTTTTCACTAGACATCTTATACTTTTAAAATATGCTTATCATGATTTCATGATTAGATTCAAGTTAAACATTTTTGACAGTAATAACTGTCATACATGAAATGTCTTTTTCAGTGTATCACACCATGAATAGGTAAATAAAAGATTATAGTCAAACAGTGTAAATAACTATTTTCATCTATGCACAAAAGTGATGTAAGTATGATATAAATCTGAATGGATTTAAATAGCTTTATGAATATGCATAAAATAAAAATTAAAATGATAAAGTATTGGCATTGTTCAGTTGGCTACATTTTTAATACATAAAACAGTGATATATCAAAATAAAAGCATTTTAACTTCAGTTAAGTAGAGCTTTAATCATGTTTGCCTTTCTACCATTCTAGCAAATATTACAGTTATGAACAAACAAATGCTGTCTGTTCTCACTTTCTCTATTGTTGCTGTAACCAATTACTACAAATTTAGTGGCTTCAAACAGTGCAAATTTGTTTGACAGTCCTGCAGGTCAGAAGTCTGAAAGAGATTTAACTTAGTTTATGTCAAGGTATTGGTGGACCTGTTTGCCTCCTGTGGACCAAGAGTAGAAACCATTTTCTTTCCTTTTGGAGGCTGTGTGTATTCTTTGGCTCTGGTTCCGTATCTCTGTCTTCACAAACCAGCAGTTTAGGATTTCAAGTTTCTCTGTTGACTCTTCTGCCTTCCTTTGTCACTACAAGATCCTTAGTGATGCTTTGTTAGGCCCAACTAGATACTCCAGGGTAATCTTTCTATCTCAGGGTTTTACGTGATGATATCTGCCAAGTCCCTTTTACCATACTTGTTACATTTCATAGGTCCTGGGGATTAGGACATGCATATCTTATTATTCTGCCTACTATAGTCTCTGTATTCATGGAATTTATACACTAGGAGATCAAATAGGCAATTGTACTAAGCATCTGCAGAGGGTACTTTAAAAGAATCAGAGCAGTAGGAGAACAAAGAAATACTGAACCACAGAAGCTAAGAAAATGCCATGAGGGTGGGAAAGTTCCTCCTGGGCTTTACACTAGGCATGCTGGCAAGAGAAGTCTCAACATAATACAGTAATGGAGTGGAAATCCATATTGAAGTATATTAAAAAGTAAAAAAGTACAAATCATTATTGCAGGCAACTCTTTAAAAATACATGGCTGTTTTTTGTGGTCTCCTTGTGTCAGTCTCATATAAATCTCTGGCAGAAGTACTTGACAGGCTTTTTATTTTTTTGATTAAAGAAATGTATAGTTCCTGATAACTCATAAGCAAGCATCTGTATGTCTTATCCTTTTACTCAAGGCCTCCCATCACATAAGTATAACCTACTTTTCCCAAATATCTTCCTTTGTTGTCATTGCAAATCTTTGTGCTTTAACTTTGCTGGTCATGTTGTTTTTATTTTTGTCTCTGCCAGTGCTTCCTTTCCATTTTGGAATGGATTTTTTCCATTTCTCCTCTTGCTTTCCCAGCATTCCAGCCTATCTCAACCCCTAGAACCTCTTCTCTCTTAGAATTGTATTACAAGGAGAAAACAATCACCTGTTTTTTCACTAAATTTTCTGACTCCATACATTTATCTTAAAGATTTCAAACCAATAGGAAATATACACTAAATAAGTAGTATAATGAGGTAGGCTTTTGTAGCAAGTAAAAGCTGATACTTTTTCTAAAAGTTTTCCTAATACTCATTAAATCACACTACCTGAGAAGAAATGTAAAATTGGTATATTTTTTAATGTCAGGTGTTCCCTGTATTTACCTTTCATGGGAAGAAAAAAAGTTGGTTAACTTTTTGTAATGTGATTAATTTTTCAGGGTATAATAAAGAGTATAGAATTCTTTAAATCCATTTTGATTTTTTCTCACTTTTGAAGGTCCAAGGGATGTCCTTCATTGCAGCAGTACTCATTCTCAATTTGGAAGAAGCAGATGCCTTCATTGCATTTGCCAATCTCCTGAATAAGCCATGCCAACTGGCCTTTTTTCGTGTGGATCACAGTGTGGTATGAACATTTGGAGTTGATTATGTTTTGTATACTTTTATATTCTGAACGACCCTTAAGAGTACAAAGCTGGAATGGTGGGGCATGCCTATAATCCCAGCCCTTGGGAGGCTGAGGCAGGAGATTCATCATGAATTTGAGGTTAGGCTAGGCTATATAGTGAATTTAAGGCCAGTCTGAACTACAAAGCAAAACCTGTTTCAAGAACAATAAAAAATGTAAAAAACAAAACAAATCAATAATTAGACAACTAAGATAATCTAAATATAAACATTTCATTGAACTAGTATAGTTTTAAGAATACTTGATGAGAAGACTCAGTACTAATACAAAGAATGTGCTATTAATATTTAAGGATTTACTTCTGTATTTCTAGAGTATACTTTTCTATAATTTTATTTGTCTGTCTGCAGATGTTGAAATATTTTGCAACATTTGAAGTATTCTTTGAAGAAAATCTCTCCAAATTGTTTCTTCATTTCAAGTCTTATAGCCTTACACCAGATATATACTTGATAGACTGGTAAGTCATAACATAAGCAACTAATGATAGTGAAATAAAGTAACATTTTGTATGTTTTAGGAACTATACTAAAGAATCTTACAAAAAGAAAAACTCACTATTTTTGTGGGGACATATTTGATTAAGAGCATGGACTCTGGGTTGCCATTAGAATGTCTCAGTTTATTTCTTATCTATAAAAGGTAATAGTAACATTTGTATCTTGAGTTATGGTGGGTGCAAGTGTTTTATATGGATTGTCTTATACACTACCTACCATATATTAAGCTTTCAGAAAAATTGCTGTTCCTTTATTCTTACCATATAAAGAATTATGATAGTATAACTTTATTAAGACCTGTTTTTCCAAGTTTATCTAGTTTTCTGACAGAAACACCTTATTTAGTGCTAATGTCTTTTTTCATCTTTCCAATTCAAAACTTTCTGTTCTAAGATGGAGGTTCTACCTGGTGAGTAGTAGCCAATTGATTTTAGAATGGTGAGCAAATTTTGCCAAAGAGGTGGAACAGCCTAACCTTAAAATAGGTTGGTCAAATATCTTCCTCGTTTGGCTCTTTCTTTTATTTGGATTTTGGATGTGTTTTTTTTTTTTTTTTTTTTTAAGTTAGTTTTCAATGTATGCCCCTCAGTTTCTACTAGGAATATTATTAGTGTTCCTCTGGGAAGGACCCAAAAAAAATCACAACACTCAAAAGAACCAAAATTAGATACTAATTCTGTTAGGAAGGCATTTAAAATTTTAAAAAACCTCAATTTTCAATCTTGAAGAACATGGAACATTAGGATTACAACTAATACAAGGAACAGGTACTGTGTATTAGCGATGGATTAGGTGTTTCTTATGCACTTTCTTATTTTTAATAGTGAAATCAGTAGTCTCTGTACTCCAACAGTATGCCTTTTGTTATGGAACTAAATATGAGTTTATAATTTAAGAAGTAGAGATGGAAAAAAAAAAAGAAGTAGAGATGGATTTTTTCACTACTTTTGTTGAACTTACTACATACAAATCTCAAAATCATTTTTGCAAGAGAAAATGAGTAAATGACAGTGCCAAGGGTTTTTGTTGTCTTTGGGCGTAGCTTTTAGCTCCCTTCCTCATGCAATCAGAGTGAAAAGTTTTATCCTAGCCAGGTCTGGTGGGAGGCTGAGGCAGGAGGATTACAAGTTCAAGCCCAACCTGGGCAACACAGGGATGCAGTAAGACCCAGGGTCAAAAGAAGAAGGGCTTGGTATGCAGCTCAGTGAGAAGGCCTGGGTTCAAATCTAAATAGTACCACCAAAAAAAAAAGGTACATTCTTCTTTCTTTAACAAGTAACTATTCTTCCAGCTTTCCCAACCAGAATGCCATTTGAAACATGATTCTTTTTTTTTTTTTTTTTTTTTTGTCTTTTTCCTTTTTATCGGTACCAGGGATCGAACTCACGACTGTCTGCTTGCAAGGCAGGCGCTTATGCCGCTGAGCTAAATCCCCAGCCCCATGAAACATGATTCTTTATGGCCTAAAGAATTACATAGTCACAGATTGTCAAAACCATTTTGGTGATTCTGTTCAACAACAAAACAAAATGGATGTTTAATGGAAGGGAAAAGAGAGTTAGATTTGCTGGGTTTGTATTATGTTACTAAAAGATGATATTTGGCTTCTTCATACAATAATAAGCATTTTGGCTTTTTATTTGGTGCTGGGATTAAACTCAGAGTCTTGCATATGCTAAGCAGTCACCCTACCACTAAGCTACAACCCAGTCCTGATCATTTCTTATGTGTCAGAAACAGTTCTATGTACTTAACTCCTTTGTTTTCAATCTTATGGTAGATATAGTTATTAACTTTACTAATGAGGAAACTTAAGTACAATGAGGCTAAATTTAATCTTGCTCAAGTTTGTATAATTAAGTGGCAAATTCAGAATTCAAGTTTTCTTACTCTGGTTTCAGAGTCCATACCTTTAATAACTAAGGTATTTTACTCTTGATTGTATTGGGCTTTTCTTCAATGTAAGGAAAATTCACATATTACTAAAAGTTTGAGGGAAAGAGCCATATTTTATTTCCTTTTTTATTTCTAATTGAACACTGTTTTTTTCCTATAGAGATGCTTAATGAATCAATGAATGAAAACCTTCAATGACTATTTTCCGCCTAATTTTAGGATCTTCACACTATATAGCAAATCGCTACCACTGGATCTGGCCTGTCGAGTTTGGGATGTATTTTGCAGAGATGGGGAGGAATTTTTATTTAGGACAGGACTAGGAATCCTCCGATTATATGAAGATATTCTCCTACAGATGGACTTTATTCACATAGCGCAGTTTCTAACTAAATTACCAGAAGATATCACATCAGAAAAGCTGTTCAGCTGTATTGCAGCAATTCAGATGCAGAATAGCACCAAAAAATGGACTCAGGTACAGTGAAATGTTTTCACTTCTAATAGATGTATTAAAACAGTCTTTTGATTTTTTTTTTTGTAAAAGAAGTTACATATTTTTCTAATGTTGTTAAATTAATAAATATGTCATCTTTGAAAAATAATTTCTGGCTTTGAAAAACAAGAGTTCAAAACAGACTGCTCCCTTGCTACCTTTCAAATCTAGGGTTTTATTTTTGTGTAAATTCACTAGGATTTTTTAACCACACTCCACAGAAGTCATTTCTCAAGAGATAAAGTGTTCTAAAGCTTTTTGTTAATAAGCTATAGTTACTTAAATGTCTCTAATTTGAGTGGTAGGTTTGTCTTTTCTTTAATCTTTTTTTTGTAGTGCTAGTAATGGAAACAAGGGCCTCAAATGCATGCTAGACAAGCGATGTACCACCAACCTATATCCCCAGCCCTGGATGTAGTTTTTGAAGATTAATTTTTACTTTATATAATTTCCAGGTCTTTACATCTGTAATGAAGGATATTAAAGAAGGAGAGAAGAATAGCAGCCCTGCTCTGAAAAGCTAGTCTTCAAAATTAAGACTAACTGAAATAGAAACAGTTGATTTTTGGAGAGGTACTAGTTTTTGTTTCCTATGTAAACAGCATAGAAGATGTTGGAGAAATTGAAAACCATAAGGTGGAAAACTGCTGGTTTTAAATTCATGGCCAGAGTAATGAAATAAGTAGTTTATTGACAGTATTAATGAATAAAGTATTTTGTAGGGATAGCCATTTTTTTCAGAGAAAAAAGTTTAAATATTTCAGACTTCATAAATTTGGATTGAATAGTCTAATGCAATAAATTTTTTAAAATAGATTCAGAGATACTTCAAATTTTTACATCTTTTCTTTTTTTAAATAATATACCACAGAGGCACTTTGAAGAATTGTTCAATATTAATCTCCCAAATGCTATAAATACATATGTTATCTCTAATTCCAAACTTTTGAAGATTATATTATAGATCAAGAATAAGCAGCTTTGTACATTAAGTTACCACAGTTGTTATCTTCATTTGCAAGTTGCAGCAAATGTGAATTATCTGGGAACTGCAAGTACTGGTAGAAAATTGTTTCTTGTTCATTAGGTTTTGTACCACAGTTGTGTCTATTTGTTCCTGAAGGGGAATTATCTTCCTTAAGGAATTCTTCTCATGGAAAGAATCTTAGCCTTTCAGTTTCTGTTCTAACAAATTGTTCCCCTAGTAATTTAACATTAAGAAAATAGTAGAATTAAAGTTCTTTGCACTTTAGTGGACTGAAGACTTTAGGAGTAAGTCTAAAAATATAAATGAGGCTTTTCATTGGTAAGAGTAAAATGTAGTGAATTCTGGGAGTTCTTAAACTCCCAGATTTAAACAGCATAGTACTTGAAAAGACTTTATATGTTACTGTTAAAATTCCTTCTCTGTCTATAGAAACAAAATTTGTTAATTTCAGTTTAAAATTTGAAATCTTACACTTAGCTAAGTCCATGACTTGTGAAATACTATGCATAATTTTTCTAATCAGTGAAAATAAAGAGTAAAATAAAAGGGTAAAATTAACTTTTTCTGAGTCTAACTCAGTATAGTGAATACATTATTAATCATTGATAAATTGGCATTAAATGTATTGTTTTGAACCTAAATTAAGTCACTTGAGTGTTATAAGTGGTATCTGTGTAACATACTATGTGGTGAATAATTTATAGTTTTATGTTGCAATATGGTTTGAAATAATTAAGCACACTATTTTTGTTAGTGGTATCTGTATGTATAGTCTTCAAACTAACAAGCCTGAGATCCTTGTTAGTATAATGACTGCCTCTTAAGGAGTATGGGACCAGAGGGTGCCTATATATTTTTACTCTCTGGGTCATTCTAGCGTAGGGACTATCAGTAGAACCCTCACAAGTTAACTCCTGTCACAGGGGCTTGCTTAGTAGAAAGTGACAGTGTAATAAAATATTGAGGGAGTGTCCAGGGTTTTAATAGGTTTTTAAATAACCTTTTAACTCTGGTAACAATTTCCTTGGTATTGATGTCCCGGAGAGAGGGAATATAACCTCTGGCAGTAATCTCACTGAGTTACATGACCTACTTAAATTTAATCTTTCTTAATGTACTTACTGTATTTTTTTCTTACTTATACTTGTACAGTTTCTTTACCTTTCAAATATAAATGTGTATATAAAATGTAAATACAATGAATTCACTAAAAACCACTAATAACAATTACTTTGTGAATAAAACTTTGCAAACAGAAACTACTCGACATGTGTCTTCATTATCTTGGGGGATATCTGGTTTAGTTAACTACATCTAGAGAAAAAAAAGGAGTATGCTTTTTTTGGGCAGGAGGTAGGGAGAAGGCAAATTTTTCTTCTAAAGGATGTACTAGGTTTTTTGAGACTTTGGGTACTGGCAGCTAAAGTACTGTACTCTTTTCCTTCCTTCAATCTTATATACAGGTAATAAGCCCATGTTTGCTTTTCAAAGATTCATGTAAATATTTTAAAAAATCAAATCAGAAGAAATATGACAAAGTAATACAGCTTTATGTTATTGAGATACAACTAATGGTCAGTGTATGTCAGGTTTTCTGTTTTTTGGTTAAAGTATATTTTCAACTACAAAGAACTTTTCCTAAAATACAGAATATGAAGTTTAATATGGTGTTTCGATTGCTTGTATATTTTACTTTATTTTATTGGGTACTGCAAATTGAACTCAGACTTTTGTACTTGCCAGATAGGGACTGTGCCTCTGAGTTATATTCCTGGCCCTGCTTGTATATTGTAAATTTTTAAATCTTTTTTAATGGTTGAATAGTTTCACATGGTATATACATACATTTTCTTTATCCCTTCATCAATTTTTTTTTTTTTTGTCTTTTTCCTTTTTATCAGTACTGGGGATCGAACTCACAACTGCCTGCTTGCAAGGCAGGCGCTTATGCCGCTGAGCTAAATCCCCAGCCCCTATCCCTTCATCAATTGATGGACATTGACACTGTTTTGCATTTCTTGGTTATTATTGAATAGTGCTGCATTAAACATGTAAGTATAGAAGTTTCTTCAACAGATTGACTTCATTTCCTTTAGATATATACCCAATAGTGGGATTACTAATTCTGTTTTTATTATTTATTTTTGAGGTATGGCGTTTCAATCCATGGTCTCAACACTGAGCTGTATCTTCAGTCCATTTTTTATTTATTTTGAGATAAGGGCTCACTAGGTCACTAAGTTTATTTGCCCAGGCTAGGTATGAACTTGTAGTTCTCCTGCTTCAGCCTTCCTTAGTGTTAGGATCACAAGCATATGCCACAACATCCAGCTGTTTTAACATTTTTGATTGCACAACATGTGCAAGGTTCCTTTTTCTCCACATCCTAGTCAATACTATTTTTTTAACAGTAGCCATACTAACTGGAGTAAGAAATTTCATTGTGGTTTTGATTAGCATTTCCCAGATTAGTTTTTAAACAATTTTATTTATTTAAAGAAAGACTAAACAAAACAGAAAAAGGGTAGAAATAATACATACTTTCAAAGTAAAAATAAATGGTAAGAAATCACTAGTTGATGATTACATATTATCCTCTTACAAATAGTTGTTCAAGTTACAAAAGTAAAGCATACAAAGTGGGGATTCAAATGAGACTGCCAACAGTTCAGTTCAGCTATCCAACAAAAACTTAGTAATATGGTTATCAATCCTATACACTTAAACATACATGCAGTTACTCGTACCTTCATTTATATTAAGATTAAACAAACCAAAGCAGGCTAAAAACACTCTGAACAAAGAATAATAGTATTGCTGGATTTCACATCATGACACTACGGAATCAGCACTGGATACTGTAGTGTCTTTTTTTTCTTCACAGTAGTTGTTCACTGCATCAAGCATTACAAGATCAGTTCTCGTGAACTTGATAGGTTGCAAGCATGCAGGAGTCTCAACATGTATTTCTATCCTTTCTATATTAGAGGGAGAAACAAAAGATAAAACATCTTCCTATAAACACATGAAACGAAAAAGTCATATAAAACCACAGTACAAGGTATTCTACAATGGTTACTGTGTTCTCTCTTGTTATTTTCAATAGAATTGTCTATATCATCAGACACAGTATAATTGAATATAGCAGTACATAACAATATTAATAAAACTTTGTAGGTAGTGTAAAACTTCAAAAACGGGTAATAATCAAACCAGAATGGGTATCGTAGTGAATTTTGTCATCTTCAGTGTAGTTGCTTATACTTTCAGACTTGATACTATCAATCATAACAGTTTTGAATAAAATCTGTCAATACCAAGCAGCAATCAAACCAGATTTAACTAAGATCAGTCCTGGTAAAATAGTGTAAGTTATACAGGGCTCCAGATTAAGTTAATAGGAAATTAAGGATGATTACTATACTACATCCTGTTATTTTTGGGATAGCTGTTTGTGCCCTCAGATCTAGTGCAAGTAGACAAACTGGGACAGAATATAATTATCTAAGCAGAGCGGTGTGAGTAATGTGGGTTTTAAATCCTGGTACACTATTAACAATATCCTCTGCCTTCTTTTTTAAGACTATTCCTCCCCTTTCACTCCCCCAGGTACTGTGCATTTTTGGGTCTCACCACCTCCTTCAGTTTTTAGATGGGGGGGGGCAACCTGCTATTTACCTAAGTGGTTCCAAACCTTCTCCCTCCTGGACTTGATCTCAAGTTGTATTCCTTTACCTATTAAAGCCTGTCTTTCCAACCTATCTGCAGGTGCTGGTTGAGTTGACCCTATTATTTTCTGGTTCCCTGTCACATAGAGCATTGTTTTCTCATATTTGATTTTCGGTCCGGAAACCCTTTTTCAGGTTAATTATATTTCCTATAAAGAGCGTCTTGGTGGACCCTACCTCCTGATCTACTCTGCCTGTTTCTCTTTTTTTTTTCTTTTTCGTTTCTTTTCTTTCTTTCTTTTTTAATCGGTACCGGGGATTGAACTCACGACCACCTGCTTGCAAGGCAGGTGCTTACGCCGCTGAGCTAAATCTCCAGGGCCGCCCCCCCCCCCCGCTTTTTTTTAAGTGTATCAAGGTCATCTATATTAGAGATTATAGCCAACCTTCTCTGCCTCATTTCTATTGTGCTCTTTTTCTGCCATTAGTTGTCTGCTTTTCTCCTTCATTATACTTTCTGTTCCATTCATTGGAGGCCTCTCTGCCACTGTTCCTGAAATCCTGGTACTTTCTCTCTCTAGAATGTCCTTCAGTATTCTCTGTAGGGTTGGATTGGTGGTCGTGAATTCCCCCAGTTTCTTTGTTTTGGAAGCATCTTGTTTCTCCATTAACTTCTAGGGACAATTTTACACCAATCCGGGTTGGAGGTTATTTTCTTTCAGGGCTTGGAATATTTCAAGCTCTTCTTGATTTGATGGTCAGTGTTAAGAAGTCTGCCGTGATTTTGATGGGTTTTCCTTTACAGGTGATCTGTTTCTTTTCTCTGGCAGCTTTTAATATTCTGTTTTTATATTGTACTTCTGAGATCTTGATTATTATTTGTTGGCTCTTGTTTTGGTTGTAGGTGGCCAGAGTTCGGTATGCCTCATACATCTGAATATCATTTCCTTTTCCTATGTTTGGGAAGTTTTCCTTATTTATTTCTGTGAATACCCTTGTAGTTCCTTTGTTTGTACCCCTGCTTCTTCAGTCACATTCTTTATTCTTAAGTTATTGATCCTCTTATCATCTTCTAGCCTTTGTATTATTACTGCCCGTTTCCTTGTTATTTTTAAGAAATTTTCCCTTCATGATCACACATTACAAACCTGTCTTCAAGTTTTGACAGTCTATTCTGAGTTTCTTCCAAGCAGTTTTTCCAGCTTTCAGTGGAGTTTTGTATTTCCTGGTAATCTCTTTGAACCTGCTTCATGTATTCCATGTTTTCTTTCCATTCTTCATTGAACATTTCTCTCCTTTTTTGTGTTCCTCCATTCTTCTATCTGTGTCTTGAGAGGTGCTTAGCATTTCTTTTATTATTCTACTTACATCTTGCTTTACTTGATTAAATATTTCACTTTTGAGTTTGTCTACGAGGTCCTGAAGATACCTCTTTATGCTCACTGATGCCTTGTCTGGTATTGCATGTTTGCTGCCCTCAGTCTATTTTGTATTTACCTCTCCTGGATCAATGTTCTCAGGGCTGCGGGCTGGGGACTTTTTCTTGTTTCTTCTTTTTGTTGTGTTTTTGATTTCTTCCATACAGGTGTATAGGAGGTCCCAGTCCCTTTCCTTGTTTGTTATGGTTCTTCTGATGCACGCTGGCTAGGTCTTTCTGCCCACTCCAGTGTGCTACTGAGGTGCAAACAGGGGTGGTGTATGCTGGCCCCTCCCCTCCAGGTCTGTCAACCTGCTGAGGCCTTCACTGCATTAGTGTGCGCCATGTGTAGGGAATTGGTTTGGGACAATTTATTGGGTCTCAGCCAGGGGTATGACCCAGGCTAAGCATACTACACCAATCTCATCTGGGAAGGGAACAACTGCCTGAAGTCACTGCTGTTCCTTGTTCCTGCCCGAATACAACATGTTGTCAAGTTGCTTACCACTTTTCCATGGGAGGGTCTTATTCCCAGCACTCACCACAGGTCAATGCAGGTCCCTTACTGGCTCCATTCTCTGTTGGGCTTGCCAACCTCTGACTTCAGTGGGACTGCATGAAGCGGCGGGAATTCAGGCGGCTTGATGAGTCGCTACCACGCGAGGTCAGGCACTGCAGCAAGAGCACCAAATCTTAGCTGTTCCAATAGTAGCTCCGGGACTGCATGTTTGACTGGTTTTTTCCCCCTTTAGTTTCTTCCTGGGTTGAGAGGATTCATCCCCCTCTGTCTGGGTCTCCCCACGATGTTTTATCTCGGCATCTGAGTTGTGTGTCTCAGGGAGTCTCTGTATTCTGCTCTTATCTATCCACCATCTTTTCCCCCGAGGATTAGTTTTAACTTTTTTTATATACACCTGTTGACCACTTATACATCTTCCTTTGAAATATGCCTGTTTTTATCTGTGTCTTGTAACACTGTTAATCAATTCTTTGTGGAACTACTCTTGTCCGTGTCTTTTCTCACTGTACTCTTCTGGTATTCCTCTTTGTTTTTTGTTTGTTTTGTTTTGTTTTGCATGCTAGACAAGTGCTGTAAGTTACACTCCCAACCTGATACCCAATTTTGATAGGACAGTACTGGGGACAGCAACTCACTTACATACGCAACTTTTCTATCTTAAAAACAGGGCCTGATATCTCCAGAGTAACTGTGTCTACTGAGCATGGCTCACTGAACATGGCTCAGTACTCCTATTTTTGATTTCCACTAGTTCATTCTCTTCTAACCAACCTTTAAGTGTTGCTATTTCTGAGGGAACCAGAAATAATTTGAGTTGAACATTGGGTCAGTTGTATAATCTTTCTAAAGGGACAATTACATGTGAAAGATAAATTCAATGAGAAATAGACCAAATCTATCATAGGCAGTATCAGGAACTATTTTGGGTTCTACCAACTCAGTAGTAAATACAGTGTTTCTGATAGGAGTTTACACTATAGTACAAGCAACAACTGTGTAAAACAATGTCATATGGTGATAAATAATAGATATTAGAACAAAATATGAAGAATAAAGTCACATGAATACAAGATAAATGTTTAGATAAAAGTTCTCCTTTGAGAAAGTGACTTTAAGCAGAGATCTGAATCAAATGAAAAGTAAGCCATGCAAAAAGAATGAAAAGCAAGAATGTAAGACTAGGTAGACTAGAGGTTAAGAAACAAGAAATGGCAAGAAGTTTATATGTGTATAAAATGGTTAAGTTTGGGCTCGCAATGTACCTCAGTGGTAGAATGCTTAGGTAGTATGTGCCAGGTCCTGGATTCAATTCCCAGTACCACAAAGAAAAAAAAATGTTTAAGTGGTTCTTGAAACTGGAGACATGGGCAGAGATCAGATCAATTAGGGCTTCTTAGGCTCAGAGAAAGAGTTTAGATTTTTATTATGAGGAATGCCATTAGAGGACCTTGAGCAAGGAAATGAAAGCATTTGATTTATACTTTTAAAACACTAAGATATGTCGGCTAAGTAAAGATTTGATGAGGCATGTTCAGTTTGTTTTCTTTAATATTTTGTAATGCTGGGGATTGAACCCAGGGACTTGCACATGTTAAGCAAGTACTCTACCGCTAAGCTACATTCCAAGCTCATCTTTACTTTTCAAGGATTCATGTAGTTTTAAAAATCAAATCAGATGGGCGAGGGATTCAGCTCAGTAACATAAGCACCTGGCTGGCAAGTGTGAGGTCGTCAGTTCGATCCCCGGTACCAATAAATAGATAATAATCAAGTCAGGAGATACATAACAAAGTAATATGGCTTTAAGTTACCGAGATACAATTGGAGGTGATGGTATAGTTCTAGAGTAAATATTAACTGACGTTACACTTTATCAGTTTTCTCGCCTATAATGTAGGAAAAAGGGTTTTGTTAATTGTGTTAGAAGGCTCTTTATATATAGGACGTGCCTTGTAAACTTTTAGATTGTGTACAGATACAATCATTAAGTAGTTGGAGTTAGACATGAAAACAGGCATGTCACACATTCTGAGAAACTGCATGGGGGTAGCCAGGGCAAAAAAATTGTACAGGATTACAGAGACGAAATATTAGAGTTGAAGGCTTAAGCAAAAAACATCAACTAGAAATACCCCTGCTCCTTTAGTACCCACTCAACTGCTTGTTGGTTCCCGAATCTTCTGTCTCTTCTGCACTCAATTTTCCCTTATCCTAAACAATTTTCTGGAATCCTGCCGTAATCTTGATTTTCTATTCCCCCCCCCCCCCCCGGCAAAAGCCTTTTCCGGACCATTTCCGGGTGGTTTTCACACCAAAATGTGAACTACGCTTGGCGAGTGGCTAGTGAGCTAGACAATATTCCTGTCGGACATCCTCACCTGCATAGTAGTGCATCTTTCCTAAAGAATCGCCCTTTGCGGGTGTGCAAATATCCGCCAGTGTGTGAGATGCCAACCACGGTCCGGAACCATCATCAAACACTGTATACAAGGAAATAGGCGTTCCAGTCACTAGACGGCTTGATGTCACAGCGGCAGTTAAAGGTATTCAGCAGCACCCAGTTTTGCACAGAAAAAAGGCCGGTAACCTTTCACTGTTCTCAGGGGAGTGGCTCCAGACAAAAGCACTCATCACACCAAATCTCGCGTAGCTTCGATATGGGCCGGTGGGGAACTCGAGTTATCGCGAGACCACAGGGTAACCCGCGAAGGAGAAGCGCGCGGTTTTTCTGTGGCTCAGAGTTTGGTCAGAACGGTGGGCCGCCTGCCTCTGTGAGGGTAGTTGTTTCGCGGCCTTGCAGGTACCAAGAAGAGTCGACTCGGTGAGCGTGAAGCCATGCCTGCGGAGCAGCCCGCGAGCAGCGGCGGTGAGTGACGAGAACCTTCTTTCGGGCGGGATTGGGCAGCATGGAGGCTGCGGCGGAGCTTGCGGGAGGGAGCCGGAGCCGACAAGCAGTGGTACTGAGGTGGGTTGAGAAGCTGTGGGCTGTGAGGGGAGGCTGCCTAGCAGCTCACCTGTTTGCCTAGCATGGAGCGTTTTTGCAGGGAGGTGCGTTTTCCCGAGCGTCCCCATTTATAAACTGGGTTTCAGAAAATTGGTGACGATGCGGATACCTAGCGTCTTCTATGAGATGATGCTAACGCCCCGTGGGTCTTAAGATTCTTGCTTTAAGTGTATCGAGGTTGAGAAATTGATAACTTTGAAAACTACAGTTTAAAACTATTTTGCCCTCTTAGGGTCCCTAGCTGCAGAAATGGTTGAACAACCAGAGACTGCCGTGATTACCCCAGCTATGCTAGAGGAGGAAGAACAGCTTGAAGCCGCAGGACTTGAAAGAGAGCGGAAGATGCTAGAAAAGGTAATTTAGGAACGAGTTGAATATTGTTAATTTATGATCTGACCTGAGGTTTCCCCGAAGACATGCTTTGTGTTCTTTTCTGTTTAATTGGAGCTTTTGTAAACTTTAAACAGCTTTTGTACTTATCCTTAGTGAATATTTACAGATGCAATCGTTGAGAAGTCTTCAAACGTGCTTTGAGTATGGGTTCTGTGAGTCTTGAAATAAAGCGATTTCTTTAGTGAGCGTTTCAAATTGCTTGTTTGACCATTATGGTTTTTTCATAGTTGGTACAGAATGCTTTCCTTTCTTATCCTTATTTCCTTTTTAAAGCACTACCTTAATGGTATTCTTTTTGGCAAACTGATCTTTAACACCTGTAGTCCCAATGTGCTAGACAGAAGGAAGAAGTGAATATTAATGAGAGATTGGGCTGGAATCCAGGTCTGGTGACGCCTTCCTACTTAGGTGGTTTTTTACCTAAGTGATCAATTTGGGTTTTGTTTGTTTGTTTTTATTTTTGAAACAGAATCTTGCTTTGTAGTTTAGGCTGGCCTTACACTATGTAGCCAGGCTGACCTCAGCTGTGCTCTTGCCTCAGAGACTCAGAGTGAAGGCATCACTTTGTTTCTTGAAGGGCTTATTACTTCTTACTTTCTATGTAGGCTATGCACCTAAAACATAGGAGACGATTAGTAGGTATTTATTGATTAGCTAATGATGATAAAGTAATTTTTTATAATTACCGTGTTCTACACAAAATTATGAAAATAATAAGTATAATTACTAGCCCTATAACTAGGTAACTTGTAAAATACAGGTCCTGGGGCCAATGTCCATAATAAAATGAGCTTCAGAGGTGGTCTTTTTATATGTAGATATTGAGAGATTTGATGAGTTTTGCACTTGAGTCATATAAAAAGTTACTGCCTAGATGACTAGAAAATTCTTACAATAACTTTCACAGATACCTTATAGTAGCTTCCTTCAATTCCTTGATGAAAAGCCTTTAACTTTTGTGGAAAGCCTGGAGAATGACTTTGTGATTCAGTTATTTTGTATGACTTTTGACCTGCATTTCCTTTTAAAAGCAGCCTTTGTGAGGTTTGATGTGGGGAGGAGGAAGGTTAAAGTTGATCAGGTTTCCTGGAAAGGTAAAAAGTGATTCATGCAGTACAGTTTGTGTATGAACTAAAATATAACTTCAAAACAACTGGAACTGGTGTTAAAACATATTGGGATAGACAGTGGAGATTGCAGCCCTCAGTGTTCTTTTGGCATACTGGTGAATTTTAACCACTAACACCTGTTTAAGTCACTGCTTTTTTCACAGGTAGAGTTACCATTTGCTATTGTAAACTGCTGAATCAGAGAGAAATGTTACATGCATATATAATCCCAACATCTTGAGAGGCTGTTACAGTAGGATGGCAATTCGAGCCCAGTCTAGGCATTGTAGCTGCTTAGTAAGATCTTGTCTTAAAATAAAAAGGAACTAGGACTATAGCTAGGTCAGGAGGCAGGCCCTACCTTCAATCCCCAGTGACACAATAATGATGGTTATGATCATGATGCTAGGAAAGTCTTGAAATAATGCACATTGGATTTTAAGACTAACCATTGGTATAGCTTGATTATATATTATTCCATAATGGTATCTTAAAGCTTTAATTGCTTTTAACATAAATGGTAATTTATCTTGAACAGGATTTAAAGTACTTATGACTGTATCTAAATTAAATCCCAAATATAGTAAGGATTTCATTCCTCAACTCTTAGTTTTGGGGGGTTTTTTTTGGCTTTTTCCTTTTTATCAGTGCCGGAGATCGAACTCACGACTCCCTGCTTGCAAGGCAGGTGCTTAATGCCGCTGAGCTAAATCTCCACCCCCACCCCCAACTCTTAGTTTTGACAGTACCTGATTTGCTTAATTGCCCAGGCTGGTGGTCTTGAACTTATGATCCTCTTGCCTTAGTCTTCTAGAGTGCTGGGATTGTAAGCACATGCCACCACACCTGATGACTAATTTATTTTTTGACATTTAACTTTTCTGTAGTGAGCATATGTTACTTCCTTAGGTATTTAACAGTTGTCATTGGTTTTGTAATAGAAATTACATTGAAAGAAAATTAGAGCAGGGCTGGGGATTTAGCTCAGCGGCATAAGCACCTGCCTTGCAAGCAGGCGGTCGTGAGTTCAATCCCCGGTACCGATAAAAATGAAAAAGACAAAAAAAAAAAAAAAAGAAAAAGAAAATTAGAGCAACATTTAGGAAAACTTAAGTCTGTAAGAGTAATATCTTAGACTTCACAAGTGAAATTAGCAAAAACCACCCAATGTATAGTTTACAAAGTGGAGGAGGGACATTATTTAGAATTTAGAAATAAATTCCTTTCTTCCCATCATCCATTCCTTCTCCTAGGGGTACAGCTTGGCCTGGCACATGCTAGGCAAATGCCCTAAGATTCCTCTAATTTGAAACCATCAATTACAAGAAGGGACCATTAGGGATTCATTTAAGGGATTCACTTTGTTTCTTGCCTTTTCATTCTTTGGGTTGAAAAGTCAGTGACTTGGTTTAGTTGAAAAGTGAGATAGTAGGAATCTGTCACAGAGCAGCTGAATAACCTTAACGTTAACAAAAAGATTCTCTAGACTATGTAAAATGAGAAATATGTATCACTGCGTCTGTAAAGATCTCTTTAATTCTATATTAGGATTTTTAGTTCAGTTATAGAGGCTTTATTAATGTAGGAATTTATACCATAATTGGTAAATTTTTGCCTCACATATGTATCCTTTAGACAGTACAGATGTCTCTTTCCTGAAATCTGACTTTCCAGATTTTAATAATTCTTTGTGAAGTTTTGAGGGCATATGAGTCTGCTATGTAATTTAGTATTAAATATAAGCCCTGTTTTGATGAGACAGATTTTAGTAAATCGTTCAAGCTGGGCTTAAGCTTGTGGTCCTCCCTGCCTTAGCCTTCAAAGTAGCTGGAATTATAGGCATCTGCCACCATGCATGGCTTGTGTGTCTTTTAATACTTAGTATTTTCAGATTATTGTTGTCATTTCATCTGTAGTAAAAGATCAGTCTTCCTGTGTTCCTCTACTCAGGAATTTATGACTTTGTGGATTAGGTGAGTATATATATGTGTTTTTTGATAGGTATTAAGGAGTTTACATTTACTTACATTTAAAAGGGAAAATCCTATAGTTCTCAATTCTGCATATCATTAAGTCATTGATTTCTCTATCTTTGTCCTGGTCTAAAATTAGAGTATTTATATGCATACATAGACACATCCTTCTTTAGGAGAAAATTGTAAGTTACGTATACCATAGCTTTAAAAGATAAATTAAATTCTCACTTGACTTACTTTAGCCTACTGTAATGATTTTCATAGAATTTTCCATTAAAAATAGAAAATTTATATTTTCTATTTTGTGCCTTCTATTACTCTTTCAAGCTATTTCCTTCTTTTTGTTCTGTTTTTTAAACACTAAACTCTCTTTAGTAAATTAATCTTGTAAGAATCTTTTTTCATTTTTTTAGAAAGTATTTTAAACCCAAAGAGTGTTTGTTTGTTTAGCCATTTTTATTAAGCTTTATGCAGAAACAACCCCAGTCTACCCAAGTAATTATGGGGAATTTCTCTTTGTTTAGGCACGCCTGTCTTGGGACAGAGAGTCCACAGAAATTCGGTATCGAAGACTTCAACATTTGCTTGAAAAGAGCAATATCTACTCCAAATTTTTATTGACTAAAATGGAGCAGCAGCAGTTAGAGGTATGTATATGTAATTAATTATAGCTAGGAGCTTAAAAATGTTTTAAAAACACTTTTATCGAGTTATAAATTATACACAGTAAAAAGTGTAGATTTCAAGTTTATACTTTGGTCTACATATTCACTGGCGAACCTATGTACCCGGGCTATAGCAGGCTGTTACTAACCCTAAAAGGTTTAGCATCACTGGTATAAACCCACCACTGTAATCAAGATAATAATGTACATTTCCATTCCAAAAAGAAAGTTCTTTTGTGCTATTAGTGAACATCAGGAATCATTTGATCTGCTTTTTGATCAGTATTGCTTATTAGAGTTTTACATAAGTAGTCATGGTATTGCGGTATTATGAAATATGTATTTGGTCTTGTCACTGCTCCTGGTATATAATTTCTAAAATCTTTGAATTCTCCAAAGCGGTACCTCTCCTTGTGTGCTAATGAGTTAGATGGTGGCTGGGAGTTCCTAGGTGGTTTTACAAGGTCTGTGTGGGGAAAAGTGCTGAAGATAAGACTGATCACTGATTGAATGAATATGTAATGAAGCCTAATTTAAAAGTCCCAGAAAAAAACAGATTTTGGAGTTTCTGGTTAATGAACAGTTGGAGGGTTCTGCAGAGTGACTTTCTTGGAGAGTGTTCAGCAGTATCCTTTGTAACTAATCAATAAAAAGGAAAGTATTTCTTTTGAGTCGTGACCTGCTGTATCTAGCAAGTTAACCCAATGAAGGGAAGTGATGTGTGAACCCCAATTGTAATCAGGAGCTCAGTTAAGCAACTCAGAGGCTAGTGATTTTGCAATCTAAAGTGGCGAGAGGGACAGTTTAGGAACTGATTGAGAATAGAAGAAACTGAGTCTTTTTTTCCTCAATATTTGTACAAGTATGCATTCCTTTTGTGTCTTTTAAAATTATTTTTGAGATTTGCTCATTACCCATTTATCAGTCTTTATTCCTGAGGAACATTTCATTTTTTAAAATAGCATTTTACTTTCATTTTAAAGAGATGAAACCAAACTAGATAAGCTTTCAAAACAAGCTGATAGGAAATTAACAATAGTCATTATATTGCATATTTTTATCTTCAAAGTAGTTGCTCAGATTATAAAATACGGGCAGGCAAAACCAATCAAACAATATAAGCAATCACAGCTTTCCATCAACTAATAGAATCGATCATAGCTATCTGTGTGTGTGTGTGTGTGTGTGTGTGTGTGTGTGTTTCATTCCCTTTCACAAAATCTATTGTACTTTTTGGGTCTCATTTACTCTTTCAAATACATAAGTATTAAAATAAATATTAAATCTTCTGGAAGACAAAGTAGGTAGAAATCTTGATGACACCAGGGGTAAGGCAAAGAGTTCGTGCTCAAAAACCAAACTACACAGGAAGTGTTTCACAAAATCAACAACTGGGATCTCATTATAAAAAGTTTTTGCATGTCAGAAGAAATCTCCAACAGTGGGAAAAGAAAACTCACAAATTGGGAGAAAATCTAGCCAACTGTCCCTCAGACAAAGAACTTATAAAGAATTAAAATTCAAAGACCCAATCTAAAAATGAGATAAATACATACTTCTCAGACAAAGAAATACAAATGGCAAGCAAATACATGAAAAAAATGTTCAAAGTCGTTGGTCATTTGAGAAATGCAAATTAAAACTACACTGAGATTCCATCTCACCCTAGAAAGAATGGCTGTCATCAAGAACTCAACTAATAGCAAGTGGTAGGTGGCTGTAAAGAAAATGGAACCCGTGTGCACTGTTGGTGGGCATGTAGACTAGTATAACCACTGGAAATCAGTGTATGGATTTCTTTTTAAAACTATGATTAGAGATCCCATTTGACCTAGCTATTTCCCTTCTGGGTATTTTCCCAGAATAATAGTAAACATCATACCACAGGGATATATGTGCACCTGTGTTTATAGTAGCACACTTTGTAATGCTGAATCTTGGAAATATCCCAAATGCTTTTCAACTGAGGAATGGATAAAAAGAAAGATGTATTTTTTTACAATGGATTATTACTCAGCTATAATTGAAATTTTTATAGGTAAATGGATACAACTTGAGACCATTCTGATAAGTGAAATAAATAAGACTTCCATGTATAAACATTGTATTGCCTCTCGTGTAAAAATGGCATTTTAAAAATTTATTTGTTTATTTATTTTTGTTACTGAGGATCAAACTCACAACTTTGGGCTTGCCAGGCAGTTGTTTTGCTGCTGAGCTATAAAAATAGCATTTTAAGTTCTGTTTATGGTATTGAGATATAATTGGAATATACTAAACCACACATACTTATGTGTACAGTTGTATGTTTTGACATGGATGAAATTGAGAAGCTACCACAATTGTAGTGGACATTTTTAAATGATTTCTTGCTGCCTGCTTTTACCTCTTTCAGCCCCAAATAGCTACTGACCTGTTTTCTGTTACTACACGTTCATTTGTATTTTCCATTGGTGACATTCATTTAACTTTTATGTATCTTAAATTACTCATTTTCTCTCTCTTTTTTTTTTTTTTTTTTTTTTTTTTTTGGGGTACCAGGGATTGAACTCACAACCTCGTGCTTACAAGGCAGGCATTTATGCCTCCAAATAAATCCCTGGCCCTTTCTTTCATTTTTGAAAGATATGTTCATTGAATAAAGAATTTTTTTCTGAACTGGGCTTGGCATTGCATTCCTATAATCCTAGCTACTGTGGAAGCTGAGGCTTGAACACAAATTCAAGGTCAATCTGGGCAATTTAGGGAGACACTGTTTCAAATTAAAATTTACAAGAACTGGGTGAAGTTCAGTGGTAAGGCAGTTGCCTACCATGTATAAGGCCCTGGGCTTCATTCCCTGTTGTGTCCCCAAAATGCCCTTCTGTAATTTTTTTTTTTTTTTGGATACAAGGTCATCTTAGGTAGTTTAGGCTGGCCTTGAACTCTGTGTAACCCAGGCTGGCCTCCAACTCCCCATGATTGTCCTGCCTCTATCTAGTGAGTGCTGGGATCATAGGTGCACCACCACACTCTGTAATTATTTTTCTTGAAATGTAAGGTTATCCACTACCCTCTGTTTATTATTTCTGACAAGCCTAAGTCCTTAAAATGCTTTTAAGATTCGTAGCAATTTCACTGTTAGCACAACCCAATTAGGTTTTAGACTTCCCAGTGTTTTTTTGCCTTTCAGCTTTTTCCCTGGCTGTTTCGTACCCCGAGATGATTGTAAAACATGCCTTGGCTTAACTACTGATCTCTTTTATCTTTCTTTCTTTTTTTTTTTTTTTTTTTTTTTTTTGTTTTGTTTTGTTTTTGGTGCTAGGTATCAAACCCAGGACTTTGTGCTTGCCAGGTAGGCACTTGTGCCACTGAGCTAAATCCCTATCCCTTAAATGTTAATCTCAAGGCCGGGGATTTAGCTCAGCAGTATAAGCACCTGCCTGGCAAGCAAGCGCAAGGTCGCAAGTTCAGTCCCCGGTATCAAAAAAAAAAAAAAGTTAATCTCAATGAGATCTGAAGTGCTCTGCCAACCTTAAATGAAATTACTAATTCCTATTATTATGTGTTACACACACACACACACACACACACACACACACACACACACACACAAGGGTTGAACCCAAGACCTTGACACTGAGCTGCATCCCTAGCTAGCCCTTTTTAAAATTTTGAGACAGGGTCTTGCCAAGTTTTGCAGGCTTTGCCAAACTTGTGATTCTTTTGCCTTAGCTTCCTAGAGTCCTGGGACTTTGAAATTACTGTTGATCCCATTTTCCTTATGTTCTTCCTATTGCACTTATCATTGTGTTTGTTACTCTCTTACCACTAAAATGTATGAAAATTTAAAGACTTGTGCAAATTGAAAGACTACAATAAAGCCCTATATCCTCATCACCTAATAACAGTTATTAATTGAGATTTTGCCACATTTATCCCCTTTTTCCTTTTTTGGAACTCCTTTTAAAATGTTTGTGTTGTAAAATAAAACCCAAAACAAGCATGTGCCTGATGAGTTATAAATCAGATATTTTAATCACATCTTCGAAAAAGTGAGTTGTATTCTTTGTGTCTTAAAATTTAAGATACATCTATAACAGCTTTTCATATAGGAATAACTTTATCTCTCCTGAATATTCTGCTTAATGCCTTATACTTAGAACTTTCTACTTTCCCTGAAGGACTATGAAGTATTCCTTTTGCCTAATCTGTTGGGAGCATAGCAGATTGCTACTGTACCTACTTCTATCTAGCTGTTTTCCTGCAGTTGCTCTCCTTACACTCAATGCCTTATCCCTACCTAGCCTAAAGTCTTGAGACTGACTGTAGCTTTCTTTTGTGCAGCTTCATCTTTGGTCCCTGACATAGGAAATACTAGCAGCTTTCAGTTTCAATTCTGTTTCTTCAGTGCAAAGACATTTGGCTTCTTTTTGGATTCTCCCAGCTTTACTTGTTCTTCCCTTTAGGTAGTAAGCGGGTGGTTAGAAGAACTGATCTTATTTCCCTTATATCATGTTCACTGTCTTTTTGAAAACTGTTTAAAAGTATTTTATCTGGATGCTGCTTATGATAGAAAGATAAATCTCTGTTCCCAGTTAATCCATGAAGACTTGAGGCACCAGTTTTTTTAGCCAAGTATTTTTCATTGTGAACATAGTTTTTTGAGAGTTGAGGGGCATGTTTTATATGTCATGTTTCCCATTAAGATACTAAGAAGCAGTTTATCTTACAGGAACAGAAGAAGAAAGAGAGATTGGAGAGAAAAAAGGAATCTCTAAAAGTTACAAAGGTAATACCACAAACTAGAATTACTATGATTTTAGTGCTAGACATTGAATCCTGTGCATAGCAGACATGTGCTCTGCTACTCAACCATACCTCCAGGTCTTGCATATGTATGTTACATTATCTTAATGATTGAAGAAATTCTATTGTGTTCTTTTGATTGATCAACTATTTTTTACTTCATTTGCATACCTTTGTTACAAGCTCCATAGATATGTTTAAAATTTGTTTCTTAATATTTATAAGAAATGTAAGGAAGGGCTGGGGATTTAGCTCAGCAGCGTAAGCACCTCCCTTGCAAGCAGGTGGTCGTGAGTTCAATCGCCAGTACCGATTAAAATGTAAGGAAAGCCAAAGTTTGACTCCTCCATGTTCTAATTTTGTGGACTATTAAATTTGATTGACTTGGAAAGAAACTATGAATTTTGTATCTCAAGATGTAATTAGCCAGCTCTTCTGGAGACCATAATACATAGTTGTGCTAATGAAAAAAGAAAGAGTGCATTTGTTAGGGTCTTCCTTTACATTAGATGTTCTGTGTATACCTTCTGAATTCTTAAAACAACTTTATATATGCATTTACACATGTAAATAAGCTGATGGGAGGAGACAATTATGTTCATTTTTTAAAATACTACTCTGTTATACACAGGTTCTGTAATTAAGAATTTGTCTGCCTGCTGAAGTGTAACACCAGTCAATATTACTGGTGCTTTCTGAGTCATTCACAGACATGCTTATGTGCAGAGCATCATAACTTTTAGCCTCCTGACACATTCATGATAGCTGATGTCAAACACAGCAGGCTCTGCCTTGTTTCAGCTTTTATACTGTGAACATGTCTTTTACCTGATCTATTTGTATTCGTTCTTACCAATAATTTTTGCTATACAAAAATGATCTCCAACCATGTACAAAAGTGCTGGTCTACTGACCAGTGTTTCTAAGTGGAGAATGACTGTGATGCACCTTATGGAGAAAATAGATTAAATAAGTTTTACTGGCATGAATTATAGTGCTGTTGACCAGGTTCAGTATTAAACCCCCTATATATTCATCAGGTATCTTTAAACAGAAACTAATTAAGCAGTTCTGTATTGGTTGGTTGATGAAAATGTAACCAGGCACCTGTTACAACTGCATGAACCTAAGCTTATATTTTTTATTTAGAGGGAGTGATTATAGACGTTATAGAGCCTACCTAGTGCAAATAATGACAATTGACTACATCTTGTTGAAAACCACACAAAATGATAAATAATAACATTAGAATCTATACTAACTGCCTTTGTAAAAGGCAGTCTCAAGTTGCCAATGGGAAAAATAGGTAGAGGATTACTGAATTGAAATTTAGTATGAATCTTAGTGTAAGACTTAAAGTATCTGATAAAGAATTTTGCAGGTCATTTTGCAAAAAAGTTACTAAAAACTGATATTTGACTCATTTTCTAGTTGCAGAGTTAATCTTTTTGATTTCTGAAGAACTTTATAAGATTATTTATTGGGTTAACCATTTACAACATAATTCTTTAACCTGTTCACTTACAATATAGTTCTTACTTTGACCCACCTATCCAGGATTTTTTTGTTCCTCTACTTCACCTTTTATTTTAAATAAAAGTCATTAAGATCTATTCTCCCATGATTCTTTTTTTGGATTCTATTTTAATCTTGAAACTTGTAAGTTTTAGCTTTTTTTGTTTGCTTGTTTGTTTGTTTGTTTTTTGGTGGTGGTAAGAATTGAATCCAAGCTCTACACTGAGCTATAGCCCCAAACCACTTTTTACTATTTTTATTTCAAGATAGGGTCTTATGAAGCTGTCCTGTTGCTTCAGGTTACCAGAGTGCTGGGATGGTGGGTGTGTACCACTATGCACAACAACATCTATTCTTCTTTTTTTTTTTTTTTTTTTTTTTTAGTGCTGGGGATCGAACTCACGACTGTCTGCTTGCAAGGCAGGCACTTATGCCGCTGAGCTAAATCCCCAGCCCGAACAACATCTATTCTTGATGTTCTTTTTTACCTGCCACTTTGAAACTTTTTTGACTGTTTCCTTTTGGTTGCTACCTTCACTTACATTTTCTAGTCAGCATTTTACTCTACTTATACTTTCAGTTGTGTTTAACTTCAGTTTTTACTCAAACTGTATTCCTTCCATACTTCCTATCCACTGAATAGCTCCAGGATAAATGTACAATTAAAGCAGATGCATGTGGAATTTCAAAACAAAAACACCTATCTTTAATTTTGAATTATACCATTTAAATAGGGAGAAAAATGAGGAAAGTGGAACCCTTGGGAAGAAGCAGGGAATTATGAGCATGAACAAATTATGGTAGGAAAATATATATATAGGTAAATGTAATGCTGAGTAATTGTGAATATAGTTCAACTGGAAAGTATATTTCTCTCAAGTAGTGCCTTCATTTTGCAGTACTATGGTTTAAACCCAGGTCTTCACATTGAACTACAGCTCTTAACATTTTTTATTTTAGGTTAAGGTCTCACTATATTGTTAAGGCTGGCCTCAGACTTACAGTCTCCCTCACTAGCTGGGCTTACAGGCCTACATCATCGTGCCTGGATAGTCTATGTCTTTTAATATTTAATATTATAAAAATCCAGAGTAAAATTAATACTAATCCTTGTTTTGTAGGGTAAAAATTCAGTTGATGCAAGTGAGGAGAATCCAGGTAAATGTGTTTGTTCTTTTTTTTTTTTTTTTTTTTTTTTTTATCGGTACCAGGGATCAAACTCACGACTGCCTGCTTGCAAGGCAGGCGCTTATGCCGCTGAGCTAAATCCCCAGCCCCAATGTGTTTGTTCTTGTTTTGAAGAATATGTGTATATACTTGTTTTAATTGTTATTAAAAATAAAATTTTTTTTATAGTCATGAAAAAGAAAAGAGGAAGAGAAGATGAATCATATAATATTTCAGAGGTCATGTCAAAAGAGGTAAAAATGGGGAGGGCAGTTAATACTCAGTTCAAGTAAAACCTGTTCCAAGTTTTAAATACCCTTATGCTGTAAGAATTACTATAGCTTGGCTTTTCAGTATATTTTAAATGCTTCATTTGGTTAATATTTGCATACTTAAATCAACCCTAAATTATTTTATTTTATTTTATTTTATTTATTTATTTATTTTTGTCTTTTTGAGACCAGGTCTCGCTGTGCAGTTCAGGCTGGCCTTGAGCTCACTTTGTAGCCTAGGATGGTCTCGAACTCACAGCGATCCTCCTGCCTCAGCCTCCCGAGTGCTGGGATTACAGGCGTGAGCCACCACGCCCAGCACAAAAATATGTTTATAACTAATAGTAATAAAGACCAGTTTCATTTTTAAAGGATCATTAAGTGATCTGTTTAGTTCTGTATTCTTAACTGTGTTTTTCTGTTGAACACCACGTTTTGTAGGTGAAGCTGCCAAAAAATTTGAAACCATTGTGTGTGTACTAATCTGCCAAAGCCAGCTGTGGTGGCACATTCCTGTAATCTCAGCCCTTGGGCGGCTGAGGCAGAAGGATCATTGAATTCAAGACCAGCCTAAGCTACAAAGTGAGCTTAAGGCCAGCCTGAACTACGTAATGAAACCCTGTCTCAAAAAGACCAAAAAAAAAAAAACTACCATAGTGAAACGTATTAACCTGTGTAATCAATATGCACTAATAAAATATAGAAACATAAATTTAAAAACTATAAAAATCTGAAACTGTCAAAATTCATTAGGTTTTAGACTAATCTGAAACTGAAATCATATTTCTTTTTTAAAAATGTTTTCCCCATTGTCACTTGTTACTGTATAAAGTATAAATGAACTGAGTGTTCAGTTGACAAACTGTTTCTGTGTGTTTTTCATGTGTCTCATTGTTAGTTTTAAAATACCTGTTCTTTCATACTGCATTTTTGTTTTCCTTGAAATTCAAACTCTTTAAATCTTAATAACTTAGGAAATTATATTTGACATAATAATTTGCTTTAAGGATGCATTCTGGTACCATTTTTTAAGTTAAAAATAATCATGAACCACCAAAATCAGCCCATGGTTTTAAAAAATACAGTATACTTTATTGAGATTTAACTAGTCATGCAGCTTCTCCTTTTGAGTCAAACTATGTCATATATAGGTGAGATCCACTGATAAAGGTAAATCCTTTTATCTTAGCCTACATCTAATGAGAAACAAAGAAATAATCACTGAAGTTGGAAAAGTCAATGCTGTTGAGAAGAGCAACATGAGTTGTTAAGCATAAGATTCATAGAAGTTTTTATCTAGGAAGTGGTGTCTGCAAATGTTGATTAGAGCATATAGGATATGTTCATATAAAATTATAATAAGGTAATTATCATTAAACCCCACCCCCTCAAAGTAGTCCCCCACTTGTTTTGATGTTATACATTCTATCATTTTTTTGGAGCAGTTCTGAAAGTCCTTTTCCATGACTTTATTACTGTATATTTGCAGTACATAACAATTATAGTCATTGTCGTGAGTATTTTTAACAGTGTGATCAAAATAATCTGCCAGGTGCTATCCCACAGAAAGACAGGCTTGTGAAAGCATGGCATGTTCTTATCCACCTTATTCACTTTATCTGGCACCCTATAAATGTTTTGAGGCAGATTAGTGGGAGTATGTCTTCCTATAAATTTTTTTTGAAGTTGAACATGGTGGCACACATCTGTAATCCTAGCATTTGGGATCCCTGTGATTATAAGGCCAACCTGAACTACATAGTGAATCCAAGCTAGCCTGAACTATATAGTGAGATTCTGTCTCCAAAAGTTTTTTTTAAAAAAACAAAACAAAACAGCCTCACAGGACTAATTTTTAAAACCACAGCCACAGTAGTTATCATATTATTTAAAGTGGTAAAAATGGCCTACTACAACCAGTTCCCCAGGAAGGGCTTTTTTTTTTTTTTTCTTTTTTTTTAATTGTTGGTTCAAACAGGGTCTGAATGGCACACATAGATTGCATTTAACTAATAAATCCCTTGGGTCTTGTTTTATGTTTGTTTATTTTGTTTTTTTCAAATTTTGAGGGTTTTTGTTTTTGTAAATTATTTGTTGAAGAACAGTAATTTTGTGTAGTTCCCACACTCTGAATTTTGCTTATTGCATCTCCATAATTTTTGTCCTTTGTTTTTCCTGTAAATTGACAGAGCTCAAGTTGGTGATTAGTATTTAATTTTTGATATGACTACTTCATACATGACACTTAAACATATTGACTCATTGCAAATTGTTCTCCATAAAGGTTCAGGTTATTTAAAGGACAACTATTTGCTCCTTATATAATCTACTTTCAGCCTTAGAATAGGAATATCTAGCTATACATGGATCACATACTACATGTACATGATTCACATGCATTCAGGTGTATATATGTGTCAGTGGTGCCATGCATCTTAAATTTCATACCTGATCAGTTTCTTAAAAGTATTTTCATTCTCTGTATCTTCAGCACATACTGGTCTCCTGTTCTTTGTTTGATATTTGCATTGTCTTTAATGATTAAGCCTAGTGACAAATTTTTCAGGTAATTTTTTATAATATTAATACTTAGTTAAGTCAACAGATGATGCTCTTGTATTACTTTATCAAGTAATTCAAAATCAAGACACTTAATTTTATTTCCAGCTCGATTTTACTTTTTCCCCAGTTCTATAGACTCACAGGTCTCTCCATAGATTCCCAAGTGGGCTAGAGCAGGATTTAGCAAACTTATTCTGTGTATAACTAAACAATATTTTCAGTTTTTGAGGTAACTGCCCAAGCCTGAACTCTACTATTGTAGTTGAAAACAGCTATAGCAGATTGTAAACAAAGAGCCTGGCTTTGTTTCATTTGAAACTACAGACTGCCAGTTGGAGTGGTTTGCACATTGTTGTTTGTTGAGTAGAGGATTGTTGCCATGTGTGAATTAGCATTTAGTCTATTCACAAAAAAAAAAAAAAAAAAAAAAAAATAGAAAAACTCAGATTTAAAAAATATTGACAGTTCATTTGGGCCAGGAGCCCAAAATGACCATAAGAATTGATTGGGCCTGTGGAGTATCAGTTTGAGATTCTCTTTTGACTACCTTGGTTGCTTTATCCTTATTTGTTGTTGTAAAGTTAGCACAAAATAAATGTTTGTTCAATAAATAAATGTTCCTCATAAATTATTAAGTTTTGGCTTTTTCAATCTTGTAGGAAATTTTATCTGTGGCTAAAAAAAACAAAAAGGAGAATGAGGTAAGATCTGTAATAGAAATTAAATTCAAGTGTTACATTTGCACATTTTTAATTTTCCCTTTGAATTAATCCCAGTTTTCATTCTTAAACTGGAGTTAGACATCTGATCAGTAAAATCCACCATTGATTCCCAAGTTGGTGCCGAGTGTCACAGAAACTTTGACACTCTTAAGTGTAATATATTGAGCTTTTGAAATTTTCCATTGCCGCTTTCCTTTCAACCAAGGTAACTAACTGTTAAGTGAAAGAAAATGTTTCTGTGCTCCCTGAAAGAACTCCTTCCATTGAGCCTTCCCATGGACATATATTACCCTTGCGAGCAAAGGAAATATTAAGAAGATAATCTAATAACATCCTATGTAGCAAAATATAGGAGTTTGGAAGGGAGGTGCAGTTCCAAAGGTTTTTTTAAAAGTAATATGCCTAGGGCTGGGGATTTAGCTCAGTGGCATAAGTGCCTGCCTGGAAAGCCCGAGGTTGTGAATTCGATCCCTGTACCACCAAAAAAAAAAAAAAAAAAAGCATATGCCTGGTGACAGTTTTAGTCTGTAAGGATAATTCTCAAAAAGTTTGTTGTTCCTTTTTTAGAGGTTTTGTGTTCGTATGGAATGGAAAAGTCTCTAGCTAGATGTTTATAATACAATCTTGTTTCTTCTGACCTAATGATTATAGAACTGGCTAGATTTTGTTATATTTTTCTATTGAATGAGGGGAGAGTATAGCAGCATTTTGTATCAGATTTCTAATTAAATATTTTTCTTTACAGGATGCAAGTTCCTCCTCTACTAATATATGTGTAGAAGAGCTTCAGAAAAACAAAGATTCAAATACCATAATTAAAAATAGATTGGCTCAAACAGTTAGGCAAAATACTAAATTCTTTTTTGACCCAGTTAGGAAATGTAATGGACAGCCAGTACCCTTTCAACAACCAAAGCTTTTCACAGGAGGAGTGATGCGGTGGTATCAAGTAGAAGGCATGGAATGGCTGAGGGTAAGGAATTGTCATTTTTAATACAATATAATTGGTTTCTATCTATAATAACCTAGTAATATAACACAATTTTAGTTGCTCTTACCATGCTTTAGTACTTGTGTGTACTTTTTTGATTTGTTTGTGTGTTTGTTTTTGGAGACAGGGTCTCACTGTGTAGTCCAGGCTGGTCTTGAACTCACTTATGTAACCCAGGTTGGCCTCAAATTTGCAGCAGTGCTCCTGCCTCAGCCTCCCAAGTGCTGGAATCACAGATGTGTACCACCACGCTTGGCTCACTGAATGAATTTTTGAAAGTGAAAATTGCCTTGTTAGACTTTCAACACATTTTATGGCTTTGAAAAAGGATTCCTCAAAAAGATTATTTTAATTTATGGTATATGTATATTAGTCTCACAATTGCCATCTTTTGTAAATGTTCTTTTAAAAAAGAGAAACTTGTGACTTTAGCAGATATTTATTTCAGAATCTGAATATAGTGTATGTTTTGTCCAGATGCTATGGGAAAATGGAATTAATGGCATTTTGGCAGATGAAATGGGATTAGGCAAGACTGTGCAATGCATCGCTACAATTGCATTGATGATTCAGAGAGGAGTACCTGGACCTTTTCTTGTCTGTGGCCCTTTGTCTACACTTCCTAATTGGATTGCTGAGTTCAAAAGATTTACACCAGAAGTAAGTTTTCTAGTGTTAAATATATTATTTCACATATATTTTGTTGCTGGAATTAAATTGTAGGCCTTCTACTATACAGTAATTATATTAATTTCTTCATAAGCATTCATCTGGTTTGACATATTTATTCTGAACAACACCATTTTTTGAAAAGAAGAAAAGATATTGGTAATCTCATACTTGTTTCCTAAGGTGTTCATGAGTTTTGAGGATTGGGTAATTTCATTCGCCTTAGACCTAGGTAGGATTTTTTTTTTAAATAAAGTTTATTCTTACATATTCCCCACCCACCCATATACATACTATCTTATTCACATCCTTACCTTAGGAGAAGAGTACATCCTAGAAGTAGAGTACTTTCCCTTTCTGCCTCTAATACTTTTGGGTTTTGTTTTTATCCTGTAGTAGTCTTATGATTTATTAGATTATCTTATTTTGCTGTAGAAAAGTAGAATTTTAAGTTTTGTTTTCTCTCAGATATTTACTTATTTTCCAAGTAATCAATATCAGTTTATATTTTGTTCTAAATCTAATAAAATTTTTTAGATTCCCACTATGTTGTATCATGGGAGCCAGCAGGAACGTCGAAAATTGGTAAGGAGTATTCACAAACAAAATGGGACATTGCAGATTCATCCTGTAGTGATCACATCATTTGAAATAGCCATGAGAGACCGAAATGCATTACAGGTACAGAATGTCTTCATTGATTTCTTTATAATCTACAAATCATATTTTATTTAGTTCATAACACTTGCTCATCATGGACATTTCTTCACATTTTCTGGTTGAAGTAATAGATGGTAGTGTACCCTTTCCTGTGTGTTAAATTAAGACCTATGACTTTTAATTTTTGAGCATAATATCATGTTAAATGTCTTAGGCTACTAGATCAACCTAACCTGAATATTTTACTGTTAGAATTAGCTAAATACGGGCTGGGGATTTAGCTCAGCGGCATAAGCAACTACCTTGGAAGCAGGCAGTCGTGAGTTCAATCCCCGGTACCGATAAAAAGGAAAAAGACCAAAAAAAAAACCTATAGAATTAGCTAAATAGACCTAACTAATCTGTGAATATATTACAGCTACTATTTGTGACATGTATTTTGAGGATATAGAATTTACCAATAAGATTATAATTTTTTTTTAATCGGTACTGAGGATCAAACTCATGACCCCGTGCTTACAAGGCAGGTGCTTATGCCGCTGAGCCTAAATCCCTAGCCCCAGATTATAATTTTTTTAAGATTATATAATCTTTTGGAGGAGAGGTAGTACTGAAAAAGATTGAACCCAGAACCTCTCTAGTGAGCTGTATTTTTTATTTGGAGGTAGAGTATCACCAAGGCTAGCATCAAACTTAGGATCCTCCTGAGTCAGCCTCCTGAGTAGCTGGAATTATGCATGTGCCACTGCACCTTGTTCATTTTGTTTTTAAATAATAATAGATTATTTGAAGATGAGTCATTTTTAGATATTCTCATGGGACTGTGGTTAATATTTTGATATCTCCTTTTATTAATGTTGTGATTTATTTTTTAATGCCCGTGTTATTATAATGTACTTAGAAAACTCATCTTCTTTGCTGCTGTATTTCACATGCAGTTCTTTGTTGTTGTTGTTTATAATTTCTTTCCTTTCTTTCAACTTTTCAATATTGAGAATTAAATCCAGGACCTCAAGAATGGTAGACAAACACTGTACAATTGAGCTATGTCCCTAAAGCCTTTTTGTTTTGAAGAGGGTCTTGCTAAGTTGCCCAGGCTGGCCTTACACTTGAGATTCCTCCTGTTTAGGTTTCCTGAGTAGTTGGGATATAGACATTAACCAGTATACCTCATTCACATGTACTGTATTGCTTTGCTTTTTCTTTCTCTGATGATGGGATGTCTGTGCAGGTATAGTTCCCTTAGTTTTGTTGTTGTTTGTTTTGGTTTGGGTTTCTTTTCCATGAAACAAAAATGATAACTTAAAATAATGGGCTCAACAAAGTCAATACACACAGATCATAAGTGGATATATATTGTGTATGGTTTGTAAAATCATGACTGTTACATGTCAAATACTAGATATATGTAAGTAGAACTTTGCAATAGGATTTGCAGAATTCTGCTCTTGGAACTGTAATGAAGTGTTTATGAAACTGGAAAAGTATCAAACCATTTCTTCACAGCCTACATAACTTACTGATCATAGAAAAACGTAGTGTGTGGAAAGATATGAAACTATTTGTAATTCTGTGTTAGAATTCTACTTTTCATACTGAATTGTGACATTCCTTATAAAATGGAAAATCTTCTAATTTCTTTTCACCTTGTAGTGAAATAGTTAAACTTCTTGCTAGTTGTATTTACTAGTGGCTCGGATTTTTCTACTTTTCTATTTTACTGGAATGTTACCATTCCAAACATTTTAGCTTTAAGGAAGAAAGCTGCAGAGTTCTGAGGCTATGTTTATGACTCAAAAAGTATCAAAGCCCTCTTTTAGGTTCCTCATTGTTTCTGTTTCCTGGATTGTCTCTTGTCTTTCGCTTATCCATAAGGTATGAGGTTAGGTTGGGTTGGGTTTGTTTTCTGTTTTTTTTTTTAAGTGGGTGCATTTTTTTTTTTTTTAATTTAAAGAGAAGGAAACAGGAAAAAAGATACATGGAGATTTTTAAAAAAGGTTAGAATTAATACAGAATTACAGAAAAATAAATGGGAAGAAATCACCAGTTGATAAGTTACATATTGCCATCTTAGAAATAGTTGTTCAGGTTACAAAATTAAAGTATGTAAAGTGACACTGCCAACAGTTCTGCTCAATGATCTAACAAAAACTTAGTAATATGCTTATCAGTCCTACACACTTGTTTTTTATCTTAAAGAGGGTAAGATTAAACGTATCAAAACAGAACAAAACAGTTCAAAAGGAAACAATTTAAAGAAATACAGATTTCAAAGCAAGTCCACTGGAGATCTTCACTGTTTATCTAATTGTCTCTAGTTAATTCCAAATAGTTGTCCCCATCTTCACACACATTAAGTACATACTGCATATTATAGAACTAATCAACTCATACAGGATGATGAAGGCTTTTTAGGTCTTCAAGATCTGACATTGGGGAAGACAATAATAACTACCATAGTGTCTCTCATTCTCTTTGTAGTAGCTGTCCTTATCTTTACATATGCTGAAATTGAACTTAATAGACTAGACTAATATCACTCTGATCAGTGAATAATAGTATTGCTAGATTTTATATCATAATGCTACAGAATTAGCATTGGGTTTCTTAGTGTTTCTTCTTCAGAGTATCTGTTCATTACATCTTGCATTATATAATCTGTTCCCGTAAATAGTTTTTTAAAAATCTTCTCGTGTGAATTTCTACGTGTGTATCTATCCTCTCTGTATTGGGAAAAACAAATCATAACAAGACAGCAAAACAAATTCCTAGAAAAACATGGAATAAAAAAGACATATAAGACCACAATATTACGCAATCTACCATAGTTACTATGCTTTCTCTTCTTATTTTCAATAGACTTGTCCACATCATCAGGCTTAATATAGTTAAGCATAGTATTACATAGCTATTTTTATAAAAACACAACTTTGAAAATATTGTAGGACTTGAGAGCTGTTGATAATCAAAACCAGTATGGATAGCTTTTACATCTTGTCATCTTAAGAGTAGTTGCCTCTACTTTTAGGGTTGATACTATCAAGCATACCAAATTCAAATAAAATCAGCCAAGGCAAAACCGCGGTCTAACGAATCGGATTCAAATAAGATCAGTCATAGTAAAACAACGTAAGTAATACAGGGTTTCAGTTTAAGTTAATAGGAAATTAAGGATAGTTACCATGAGATAACTTGTTATTTTGGGGTCAGATGTCTGTGCCCTCAAATCTGATATGAGTGGACAGACCAGAACAAATTAAATTCAATCTAAACAGCGCGATAAGAGTACTGTGTCTTTTAAATCCTGATACACTATTAACAATGACCTGCCTTTTTTAAATAGGGTATCAAAGCTATCTATATTAAAGATTATAGCTTACCGTCTCTAGCACATGTCTGCTACTCCACTTTGCTGCTATAATTTGTCTACCTTCCTCCCTCCCTCATTCCACTGTCTGCACCATTCGTTGTGGCCTCTCTGCCACTGTTGCTGGAATCCTGCTATCCCTTCCTCTCTCTCTCTCTCTCTGGAATGTCCTTCAGCACTCTCTGTAGGGTTGGGTTGGTGGCCATGAACTCCCACAGTTCCTCATGTCTTGGAAGCATCTTATTTCTCCATTAACAGTGAGAGAGAGTTTTTCTGGGTATATGAGTCTTGGTTGCAATTTATTTTCTTTCAGGACTTGAAATATTTCCCCCCATTCCCTTCTCAATTGGAGTTTGTGTTGATAAGTCTGTTGCTATTTTGATAATTTTCCCTTTGTAGGTTATCTGCTTCTTTTCCCTGGCTGCTTTTAGTATTCTATTCTTTTGGTGGATTTCTGGAATCTTGATTATTATATGTCTGGGTGTAGATCTGTTTTGATTGTAGGTAGCTGGTGTTCTGTATGCCTCATTTATCTGGATATCATTTCTTTTTCCCATACTTGGGAAATTTTATTTGAATATATCTGTGATTATTCTTTGTATTTCATTTTTGGTTGCTCCTGCTTCCTCCTCACATGCTTTATTCTTAACTGTATCCTTTTGTCTTTTCCATACTTGGGAAATTTTACTTTAATATATCTGAATATTCTTTGTATTTCATTTTTGGTTGCTCCTGCTTCCTCCTCACATGCTTTATTCTTAACTATGTATCCTTTATGTTAACTATGTATCCTTTTGTCCTCTTTTAGCCTTTGAATTGTTTCTTTCTAGTTCCTCGTTATTTTTCTTTCATGATCATATATCATAAATCTCTCTTCAAGTTTCAAAGGGCTAACTTTAGTTTCTGTCAAGGCATTTTGCCAGTGTTCAATGGAGTTTTTAGTTTCCTGGTAATCTCTTTGGATCTGTTTCATGTATTCTAGGTTATGTTTAAATTCTTCTTCAGAGGTTTCTTTCTTTTCTGATTTCCTCCGTTCTTCTGTGTTCTCTTGGGCGGGGCTTATATTTCTTTAATTAATCTCTTTTTGTCTTGCTTCATTTGGATCAGAAGTACAGTTTTAAATTCATCTATGAGGTCATGAAAGGTATTTATTTTGGCTGATGCTGTGCTAGTATTGGATAGTTACTGTGCTGGTTCTCCGCTGTGTTTGCTTCTCCTGGGCTTATTTTCTCACATTCAGCAGATGGAGATTTTTTAATTTCTGTCTCTTGTCATGTTTCTGGTTTCTTTCAGACTGGAGTGTCCTGGGGGTCGCTGGCCCTCTCCGTATTGCTTAGGGTCTTTCCGAAGTGCGCTGATTGAGGTTTTGCTGCCCTCCCCAAATTGCTGTTACCTGAGATATCTTAAACTCTTTCCCTTGGGATGGTGCGGGGACACTCACCCCAGGCCACACAGTTCAGAGTTGAGGCACAGGCAGGCAAGCCCAATTCCCTGAAGCTGGTGGATCATGGCAGGAAACTGGAAAGTTCTGGTTCTGTATTTTTGATTATTGTCTGAAGAGGTGTTTTCCCAGAAGCATCCTCTCTGGGCTCCATTTGTGGCTCTGGCTCCGTGGGGCTCTGGTCGGGGCTCCGGTCGCACAGGTGTGGTGGCTGCAAAGACACACTCGCCCACCTGGGGACCTCAGGGGTGCTCCGGCAGCAGCCCGCTCAGCACCAGTGCTGGGGGCTCGGGTCCTCGCACGCACGGCAAGTGTGAAGGTGGCAATGTGTCCCAGCAATGCAGTCCCAAGCCCGCTGACCTGCCCTCTTCACGCTTTCCTGGATGCTGCCTGGATCCTGGGAAGCGGCAGTGGTGTCAGGGGCGGGGGCAGCTAATGTGCGCCAAGTTGCTTCACTCCCCGGCCCCTGTTGGCCCCTGTTGACAGGGTAGGAAGTGGTGGCTGAAGGCAGTGGCGCTGGGATGGCCTGTCTCACTGGCTGCCCAGAGGCGCTCAGGGCTGCATGGTGGGGCAGACAGCCAGGAGTGAATGTTTGATTCGTTTTTCTCACCTTAGTTTCTTCTTGGGATGAGAGAATTCCTCTCCCTCTGCTCGGGGTTCCCCTTGTATTATGTTGAGTTCTGGGTTGACTATCTCATGGAGCCACTATAGCCGGCTGTTATCTATCTGCCATCTTAGCTCCGCCCCCGGGTTTTCTTTTAAAGAGAATTTCACTGTGTCACCCAGGCTGGCCTCCAACGAAAATATCCTCCCACCTCAGTATGTACAGTAATTGGGATTATAGACATGTGTACCACCTGTGTCTACCTCATATTTTATGTTTTATTTGATAAAATAGATAGGTTTCCTATAGTAAGAGATTATTCAGATCATCAAGGTTGCCATAGTACCAGAAGAATAAATCCCTTCCAGGTGATATTATGGAAGAATAATAATTTTATTTTTTATTCTGTTAGGAAATGTACAATATAGTTAAATGTAAAACATGCATCATTTTGTATTCTGTCTTTAAAAATATGTTAATTAAAATAACTACAGAAGAAATGGAAAACCTAAACAGACCAATAACTAAGAAATTGAGAATATAGTCAGATGAAAAAGAGTGTCAGTTACAAATGTAGACCTCAATAATACATTTTTTGAGGATGTGGAACTAAAAAGTTTCAGTTCCTTTGTAGAAATCTAATATGTGTTAGGAAATTAAGATCAAAGCTTGATAAAACAGACAAAAACAACTATCACTGAGGAATGAAGATATCTTAGCTACCTTATAGGACTTAATGTATTATTTCATGATGTAGTGATGTCTGCTCCAATACACAGTGGTTTTGAGAATCTATTGCTTTATCCCAATAGTGGATCAAAGGAAATCTTGATCATTTGAATGGATACCAAGATATGATATTTGATAAAAATGCATCCTTCAAAGATGGCAGTTTTAATTTAATTAAATGAGAGTGTATAGTACATTCTGTTGCTGTTTGTATTGTGAAATTACCACATTCTTCCTTGGTAGCATTTGCATCACCTACTACAGTTATCTTTGGAGCATATGAAAAAAACACTAAAAATTTTTTACAAATTGTGATGCTATGTGACACTGCATTGGGATCTATGCCATTTTGTACTCTGTAAGAGAAAAGTCGTGCTTTCTCATTAATATCTGTCAGTTTCCCCGCTCACACAAGAGGCGATCATTACTAAACTCTTATTTCTATAAAGTTGTCAGTTTTAGATGTTAAAAGCAATATGGTCAAGCTTTTTTATTTGTGACATATTTTACATAATGACATCTTAGTTAATCTACATTGTCACAAATGAAGGTTTTCGAGAAACTTTATTTTTAGAAATGTCTAGAAAAAATTATGAAGTTGTTATTTTTTAAACTTTCCCTCCACTCATTTTCTAGCATTGCTTTTGGAAGTACTTAATAGTGGATGAAGGACACAGGATTAAGAATATGAAGTGCCGTCTGATCAGGGAGTTAAAACGGTTCAACGCTGATAACAAACTTCTTTTGACTGGTACTCCCTTGCAAAACAATTTATCAGAACTTTGGTCATTGCTAAACTTTTTGTTGCCAGATGTATTTGATGATTTGAAAAGGTAGGTAAACTGATCATTTAAGGTGTTTTTTTGTTTGTTTCTGTTTCTATAATATTTTCTTAAAGCATAAATATCTCTGGTCTTAGGTGAAATTCTTCTAGTTAGCTGAATTTTAATGACATTCTTGGCAAGTTTTTTTTGTGGTATACACTGTGTTTTCTACTTTTGACGAAGTTGTGTGAAAGCAGATAATTTTGAGCCCGAGATATAAGTTTCTGCCTTTCGTAAGCATGAGGTTGTGACTTTGATTCCTGGGACCAGAAAAACAAAAAACAGTTTAAAAAAATAGTTTTGAATTTCTGTGCATTGATTAAAGAAAACAGTAAAGCCTTGCCTTATGGATTTTTTTTTTTTTTTTTTTTTTTTGTACTGGGGGTGTAACTCATGACCTAGCACCTGCCAGGCAGGCTAGGCGCTCATGCTGCTGAGCTGAATCCTCAGCCCTATGGAAATTTTTTGAAATACTTTTTATCTTAATTTTCCTAAACGCTATTAGATATTTTCCTAATTTTAATCTTTATAAAACAACCTGGGTTGGTAAAAAGATTACATAAATTCTCTGTCACATGGAAAACTTAGCCTTAAAGTTGTTAGACAATATAAGTATTTGGCAAAAGAACAAAAATAGAAACCAAGTTTGCCCTATTTTAGTCTAGTACTTTTTAGCCTACAAATGGTTTGAAATTTTGCTTATATCATAAAAGCAAATAGTCTTCAGAAAACAATTAGTATCTTTGGATGGAAGGATTGATAAGAATAAGTAAAATGGAAGCAATAAAAGTGAAGTTAAAAGAATTATTTATACCCCTGTTGGCATCAGTGAAGAGAAAATTGTTGAATATGGAGAAATAACTTTCAGTGTTTTATTACAAGAATGTATTCCAAATCTGATTACCAAATATGGATCCAAGTAAGGTACCTTGTTTGATTGCACACTGCTGCCAAAGACAAGATTTCCAGGTCCTCCGCAGACCCACTGAGTTAGACTGTGAGGTGTAGGAGATAAAAATATAAATTTTAAAAATATACTTTATATTGTCTATTCTTGAGAATACTTGGTCTAATTATGGCATAGCTTTTACTAGCACTTTTCACAATTGGATATAGTATTACATGCAATATAAATAACAGTACTTTTTTTGGTCTGTGTTTATACTTAAATACTCATTTTTATATAGTTTTTTAACATTAGGAAGAAATAAATATACAGTAGTTACCACTGTCAAGTTACATATGTGTCAAACTAAAACAATTTGTTGAAGCAGGCCAGACTTACATCTGTAAAAAGATTTATATATTGTTTTTCACAGATAGTTTTTACTTGAGCTAGGATTGCAGCTCAGTTGTAGAGTACTTACCTACCATGGTTAGATCTATGTTACCGCAAAACCAACAAATGAAAATGTTAATATTAGTTAGAAAAATGTCTCCTTTCATATCACATTTCTTGATTGTTGGCTTAATAAATGTAGTCACTTTATCTTTGTTGTTTGTGTTTTTACTGTTTAAAAGTTGCATCTGAAGATTGAGTACAACAATATCTATGATTCTTGCATAGGTAAATTATAAATTATGAATTGTGTTATATAATTTAATTCACATGATAGGTTAACTTGTAATCATTTTTCTCTTCCAGCTTTGAGTCTTGGTTTGATATTACTAGTCTTTCCGAAACTGCTGAAGATATTATAGCTAAAGAAAGAGAACAGAACGTATTGCATATGCTGCACCAGGTGTTGAATGTTTTCTTATTTTGCTTACTGTATGCTCATAGAATAAGGAAGGAACCATAATTAGGATTTGCAGAATTTGACACTTAAAAGCATTTTAGAAGGATCTAGGAAAAAACATTTAAGTACAAAATTACTTTTAAAGATACTCCTGAGAAATTATATCATCTGGTCTCTAATTGGGCATTTGTAGTAATTATTTTCATAAGAAGGCTTACTGGAGTTTTTAAAATTATGAATAACTTCGTAATTGTATGCATATAAAGATTATGATACATAATCTGCATGCACGTTCGTTCAAACTCAACATGTTTATCTACCTATCATCAAAATTCTCAGTTTATCAAAAACAGTGACATTTTTTGGATTGGTCCAGCAATAAGAAAATTCTGTATAACAGTTTAAATTTGTCTTAGCTTTTATGATTTGATCCTAATTCTGCTTTACTACATTATCTGAGAAAAACTCCTTATTCAAGGTAAATTGATTGATTGGAAATTGCTTGTAAATCAGTGTTTTCCTCATCAAGCTTCATATTCTTGGGTTTTTCAATGTTTTCTAAATGAAATGATTTGGAAATCATTTAATATCCTTTTATGTTTCACTACTTGTTAGTTTGTTAACCTTCCTTTTAAGAGGAAACATTTATAGATACTTATAAAATGCAAAATAAGTCATAGTGAATCCCTCTATTACTTTGAAGTTAGTTATATGAAAGATTTTCATTTATAAGAAAAATAAATTAATGGAAATTTTTATAGTCTTTAATTTTCATTTATTCATCTGAAAATTAGAATTCTCTCTTGACTCTACCAACTTCAGTCTTGTTTGTTCAGCTGATGTCTTCATGACTAGTCATTAAAAATTTTTATTTCATTTAAAGACAAACATCTACTATGAAGATTTACATGCCATTCAATATGGTACTTAAAAAATTGAACTGTGCATATTGATTTGCATAGTACAAAGTTATACTGCCTTCAAATAAACATAATTATTTATCATAGAGGGTAATTTTTAACTTGAAGTGTTAGGGAAAAAAGGAAGCTCTGTTAAGTGTGGTGGTACACTCCTATAATCCCAGCATTTATAGTGAATTCAAGGCCACTGTGAACTACATAGGAGACCTTGTCTGAAAACACCAGACAAGAAGGAAGTTTTCACATCTTTATTCAAAGTATAATTTTAGACTGTTTGAAAGATTAGAAAATTGTGCAGTGCTCTGAATAAATTAGTTTTTAATTTGTTAATCTGGTATGAGAAAATTTCAAGTTATCTTAATCTTACCTTTTAAGACTTGTTATTGCAGTTGGTCCAAGTGCAGTGGTGTTTACAACTAATTGATCACAACCAGTTACAGATTTCTTTGTTCCTTCTCCACTCCCACTGCTTCACTTGACTAGCCTTAAAAAAAAAGACTTGTTAGTGCTTATGTAGGCATAAGGAAAGAAAGAATAAAGAGTTCATGGGGAGTAATGTTCCCTGAAAACCAGGAATATTTAATATTCAGAGTTACTTGTTCTTGTTTAAATTTTAGATTCTAACACCTTTCTTACTGAGAAGACTAAAATCTGATGTTGCTCTTGAAGTACCTCCTAAACGAGAAGTAGTTGTTTATGCACCGCTTTCAAAGAAACAGGAAGTTTTCTATACAGCCATTGTGAATCGTACAATTGCCAACATGTTTGGATCCAGTGAGGTATAGTGCAAGTTTGAAATATAGTGTAAATGAGACATGGTACATAAAATTTCTTAATTTCACTTTTACGGCTCCTTACTTGTTTTAGGACTTACTGGATGATGTTACTTCTAAATGAAGTAGAAGGCCCAATGCAAAAGTTCCCTAATGTGCAGAAATTTCTAAGTGGTAATCTGTGCATTACTCTTTGTAATGTGGAGTGTTAAAAATTTAGATTGCTATATCAGATTAACTTTAATCATGATGTGTCAAATAGATTTGGAAATGTTTTGTTAAAAAGCAGTCATTTGAGAATCACTGTTCTAAAGGCTTACCAACTAGACCATCCCCTCTCAACATGTAATACCATCACAGGAAGACACTAATAGACTATTTCAAAAGCAATATCTGTTGTCATAACCATATTATAAGAAATGGAGATAAGATTTAAGTTCAAAGTAACTTTATCTTTTGATGTTTCTCTGTTGAGCTGTAAAAATATTAACTCTCAATTTGAAATACTGTCAATAATGTTAAGGTAAATCTCCTAAGCAATGTGTGTTTTGCAGTGAGCTTACAGATCTCTGATAATTGTGTCTTTGGGAATTATTAAACTTAATGGTGAAAGGAAAAATTTTAAACCTTAATTGTTTTGTACATATAAATAGTGGGCTTTATTTTGTTTATTTTAATATTTCAGTGTATAGCTTTTTAAACAGATACTCCTTCAATTTTTTCTTTTAGAAAGAAACTGTTGAGCTAAGTTCTAATGGACGACCAAAACGGCGAACCAGAAAATCAATAAATTACAGCAAAATAGATGAGTTTCCTAATGAATTGGAAAAATTGATTAGTCAAATACAGCCAGAAGTAGACAGAGAAAGGTGTGAGTTTAAAAATAAATGCAATGAGGATGGAGGGAAAGGAGAGGAGAAGGAGGGAGAGGGGAAAGAAAACAGATAAGATGTAATATGTATATGTACCAGTTCCCCAATGTGAATATGATGGTTATATGCAAACATACACCAATAAATAAAAGAGAAAATTTATTCTTTAAATTATACTTTTTTATATTTCTCATGTATTGTTTTTCATAGACCTGTTGAGGAAGTGAATATCCCTATGGAATCTGAAATAGATCTGAAGCTGCAGAACATAATGATGCTGCTTCGAAAGTGCTGTAATCATGCATATCTGATTGAATACCCTATAGACCCTGTTACACAAGAGTTTAAGGTGAATACCATTTAATAATTTACTGTTTTGATTTCCTATAATGAAAATGAAGCAATTTCTTGAAGGGATTTTGTGAAGCTTCACACGATCAATTTCTATGGGCAACCGAAACAATGTTTTATTTACATATTTTATATGAATAAAATAATTATCCTAAATTTAGTAGAGTAGGTAATACCTGTTCTTGCTGTGTTAAAGATGATTGCCACTTTTGATATTCTTTTTAGTTAATATTTAGCTTGTCAAAATTAGCCTAGCATTGCTTAATGAAGAAAAGAAAACCAAAACATTGTTAAGAGTTGAGAATGTTCACATTCAGTGAATGAAACTGTTTCTTTGTGTACTTAATTTAAAACTAGCATAGGCTGAAACTGTTCTTAGTAACCCTTATTTTGTTCCAGTTTAAAACTTTACAGTAAGGTTTCTTTTGTCTGACTATTAAAATTTTGAGTCAGGTTATTTTATTTAAGGTAATAGCCTGTGTAGGGTAGAACATTTGGCAACCCACTCACTTCTGCATCAGTAGTAGCCGTTTATAACGTACAATTGCTTATGAACTCTAATATTTTAATTTTTACTAAGAATTATAGTAGCAATTTTTAGATGTTTTGTTTTGTTTGTGGTTTTAAGTGGCTTTGAACTCCCTATGTAACCCAGGCTAATCTTGAACTCATATCAGTCATCCTGCCTCAGCCTCCCTGGTGCTGGGATTACCAATGCACACTACCATATCCAGCTTATAGTAGCAATTTTTATATATAGTTTGCTCCATTATAAATAAACCTTAACATATACATAGTAAATTTGAATCTATCTAGAGTGTTGGTTTTGGGTGTGTATATGTCTTTTCTTGATAAATATCATTTAATTAATAAAAAATAATAAAGTTAATTTTTAAGTTTTTTGATTTATCATTGAAAAGTGAACTATTCAAATGGATTTACAGGGATTTCACTTTAATAAAACATTACTAATTATAGTGACTTATGGGGTTTTTGTTCACTTTTAAGATTGATGAAGAATTGGTTATGAATTCTGGAAAATTCTTAATTTTGGATCGAATGCTGCCAGAACTAAAACGCAGAGGTCACAAGGTAGTACTTGATTGTAATTTTCATTGTTGAATTATTTTATGAAATAGTAAAGACACTGAGCTTTATTTAAATTTCAGGTGTTGCTTTTTTCACAAATGACACGGATGTTGGACATTTTGATGGATTACTGCTATCTTAGAAACTTCAACTTTAGTAGACTTGATGGGTCCATGTCTTATTCACAGAGAGAAAAAAATGTAAGACTGCTTATGTTATCCATACCAAATTCTTTCTTCTAATTCTTATCTTGATTTATGAAGTAGTATACAAAATATACTAAGTTGTTAAGAGATAGGTATGATCTATGTTTTTGGTAGATTAAAAACAAGCGTTTCGATTTGGTACTAATAAGTGGTGTTTGGTTGCCATGTATGTACACACACTCACCTTCCTGAATAATCTCATACTGTCACTGTCAGAATTTTTTTAAAATGGGGAGTTTTTTTAATCTCTGAGTCCTCAGAATTTTATTATGACAATTTCAACGGTACAGCAAAACTAGAAGAATTTTATAGTAAGAAACGTAAGCTAACAGTAAAAATTTTTTTGGTTTGTGTTTTTCAGCCTCTTTTGAAAGTTTATCTTGGAGTCAGGATGTCCCTAAGCTGTTCTCAAACTTGGGATCCTATTGCCTCAGCCTCCTGATTAGCTGGGAGTATAGGCACGCATCACTGAATCTAACATTAATGTTTTTATCAGTTATCTGAGAAAGAACATCAATCACTTGCTGTATCTATTCAACATTTTATCCACTTAAAATACATTTCAAAATACATTATAGATAACACAACTTACTCTTTTTTCTTCACTGACTTCATCATCTGTTATATTTTGTGATAAAAGTTAAATACATTTGTGAGTTTTTACATACATGATCATGTATGTCCAGATCTCTTATCAAGATACCCAGTGTTATCATCAGTCTAGAAATATTCCTGTTTTCTTAGTTTGTCCACCTTGTCACCTCTATTTATTAGGCAACTACCATTTGGTTTTTTTCACCATTTTTAAATTTAGGTTTATTTAAACTTACTTGTGACACAGTCTTTTGACAAAACTTAGGTTTCCTTAGTAAAACATGTTTGGAAAATGAAATTAAAATGAGCAGAGATTTCAGTAACATTGTTTAATAGATCTAAAAGGTTGGTTTGGCTGCTTTTGGAAAAGCTTTCAACAGTGACGGAAACACATAGACACAATCATGTCTGTTAAAGTTTGTTTTTTGTTTTGTTTTGATTTTTAGTACTGGGGATTGAACCCAGGACCTTCACACTGAGCTACATTCCCATCTTTTTATTTATTTGTTTGCTTATTGGCTATATGAGAGTGATTTTTGAGGTCTCACTATGTAGTTTGCCTTGAACTTACTGTGTACCCCAGGCTAGCCTCAAACATACAGCAGTCCTCTAGCTTTAAGTGCTGGGATTACAGATATGTGCCACCATACTTGGCCCCAGTGCTTTTTTTTGAGTCATGGTCTTACTAGATAGCTAAGTTTTCCAGGCTGGGTCCAAGTTTGGGATCCTCCTGTCTCCACCTCCCATGACTACTGATATTATACATGTGTGAAACTACTCCTGGGTAATTTTTTAACATCCTTTTTGCTTTTAGATGGATAGCTTCAACACAAATCCTGATGTGTTTATCTTCTTAGTGAGTACACGAGCTGGTGGCCTGGGTATTAATTTGACTGCAGCAGATACAGTTATCATTTACGACAGTGATTGGGTAAGTTGGAAATACATGAGTGTGCTGATTATATGTCAATTATGAATTTCTAATCCTTTATTGCATATGCCAAATTTTCAGTTACATGTTTTGCAAGGTATCTGTTTTAGCTAGGAATTATTTACCATGTTTTCTGCCCGTGAAAACTTAAAATATTTTCTTGATAACTTTTAAAAATTCTTGTATTATGGATATGTGGAATGATTATTTCTGAAACCACTCTAGAAGTATACATTGAGTTAAAGCACCATTGAAAATGTTTTTCATTATATCATGAATGTTAACTTTATATTACCTATATAAGTTTAAGTTTACTTCAACCTAATGTTGTTAAATGTTATTTCTCTTTTTAATTAAGAATCCTCAGTCTGATCTTCAAGCCCAGGATAGATGTCACAGAATTGGTCAGACAAAGCCAGTTGTTGTGTACCGGCTTGTTACTGCAAATACTATTGATCAGAAAATTGTGGAAAGAGCAGCTGCTAAAAGAAAGCTGGAAAAGTTGATCATCCACAAAAGTAAATGATGTTAAAGTAGAACTTCTTTGCTTTGGTTGTCTCTTGTGAATTTTTGTTACTTTATAAAAGTACGGCTTGGCCTATCAGGATTACTTAAGCAGTGGGGAATGTGGAGATTCTAACAGCCTGTGTTAAGTTGGTAACCATAAACAGAACCTTTCTGTGATTGTCTGTTAAGGTACAGAGAGAGAAGGAAAGAAATCAAGAGTAATTTTAAGGCGAAATGCCCTAAATTCTGTTATAAGGAACTTGACATGGTATCAGTACATATTTTTGATATTTGCTTGCCAAAATTTTTAAGAAAACTTGCAAATGTTTTACTGCAAAAAACCTACTTGTTTTAATGTAAAAAGGGTTCTTAGAACTGAAGTGAGCGGGGAGTTTTCCATTTTGTTTCCTGAGATACTTGGAGAAGTTCTATTTTTACTCCTTTAATATAAAATTACATTTGAGGATGGGGAGTTCAGCTCAGTGTTACAAGTGCCTGCCTGGCAAGCATGAGATTGTGAGGTCAATCCCCAGTACCAAAATAAAATAAAATAAAATAAAATAAAATTACATTTAACTAAATGACACAATGTCTACTTGAAAAAACGTTTTAAATTATCTCAGAATTGTAAAGCCTAGAGAAGTAAGAATAGCATGATAATGTTGAAAACTGTTAGTCTATAATAATTACCTGCCTGCAGATTCTTTGCCGTGAATTTGGTTATAGCGCAAAGTAGAGTAGGTTTTAGACAAAGTGAATTGACTTAATGGAAAATTTACATGGAGGGTAAAAACAAAACCTTGTCCTAATAAGATTTTGAATAAATTTAAATAAGTTCACCTATGGCACTTTAGAAATCTGAATAGTGAATAAACTATATTTTGCTTAATGTTAAATGTAGTTTAAATTTAGGTAAATTTTACTTGTTATATTTTCACAAATTCTGCTTTTAGTGTTTTAAGAGTTGGTGTTTTAGGGGCTGGGAATTTAGCTCAGTGGTATAAGCACCTGCTTTGCGAGCTCATAGTCCTAAATTCAATCCCCAGTACCCGCCCCCCCCCCCAAAAAAAAAGTGTTTTAACTTCACCAAAAAATTTGGAAGTTTTGTTTTTTTCAAGTGCTAAAAAATTTTTTTTGGTATAATATACAATAAAATACACAGGTGTTGATATTTCTTTTTTTTTTTTTTTTTTTTGTCTTTTTCTTTTTTATCGGTACCAGGGATCGAACTCAAGACTGCCTGCTTGCAAGGCAGGCACTTATGCTGCTGAGCTAAATCCCCAGCCCCAAATGCACTGGTGTTAAGTATGCAGCATGACTGTGATAGATATGTAGATCTGTAACTGTCATCCAGATCAAAAAAAATATTTGCATTTCTTAGGAGAGTTACCTTGTACACCATTATGCTTCCCCAGCCCTTACTACAAAGTAGCTGTTGCTCTGATTTCTAACCTGCAAATTAGTTTTCTCTTTAACTATTCATTTTTAGTATATACAGTATACTGGGTTTTTAGTTACTTTGGTTTAAAATTTGAGATTTATCTAAGTTAAAGAAATTTTATCATTTGTGCTCAATAGTTTTTATCCATTCTTCTGTTGGATATTTGAATTGTTTACAAATTGTATTTTATCGATCCCTGGTACCGATAAAAACAAAAAAAGACAAAAAAAAAAACCGAATTGTATTTATAATGAATTGGCTGCTTTTATATGAATCTTTGTAGACAGAATGCATTTATTTGTCCTTAGATTTAGGGAGAGTTTATTTTTACCTCGTGAGGACTACCAAACATTTCCCAAATGAACATACTGTTTTGTATTTCCACCAGCAAAGTGTAAGAACTGTAATTGCCTGTCCTCCTTACAAATGCTTGTATCTTTTGTCTTTAAAAAATGTGAGCCATTCTGATTTGTTTGAAATGCACTGTAGTTTTTAAAGGAATTTAACGCAGGCATTCCAGAATGCTGTAATTGCAGCATTCTGGAATGCTGAGGCATGAAGACTTCCAGTTTGCATCCAGTCTGGGCAACTTTAATGACTCTGTGAGGCCCTATCTCAAAATTTAAAAAAAGGACTGAGAAAGTATTATATTACGGAAGCCCTGGATTCAATCTTTAGGGCCACCAAGAAAAAACTTTTTTTTTTTTTTTTAATTTTTTTTTCCCTAGATCATTTCAAAGGTGGTCAGTCTGGATTAAATCAATCTAAGAATTTCTTAGATCCTAAGGAATTAATGGAATTACTAAAATCTAGAGATTATGAAAGGTAAGATTTCATTTTTAAAATTCTTTTGTTAATACATTTTTATAGTACATAACAGTTATATTCCTCATGTGGAATTCTATATATAACTTTTTTTCTCCCCCTCTCCCTCTATCTCTTGGTCACCTTCTCTTTTGTAAAAGATTTATTTCCTATTACCTTTTATTTTGTTTTGGTTTTCTCATGTAAGAGAGTTCATGTTTTATTTAAGCTTGTGTGTCTTGAGTTTCACCTAACAGTGTGGTCTCAAGGTGCATCCATTTACCTACAAATGGCTCAAGTTTCTCCTTTATGGCAAAGTAATGTCCCATTTTCTTATTCCATTCATCTGTTGATGGATCTATAGGCTGCTTCCAAGATTTAGCATTTATGAATTGCATACTGTGCATATATTATTGTAATATGTCTTTAGCTCTCTTGGTAAAGATACCAACAAGAGGAATAGCTGGGTCAAGTGGAATTTGCAGTTTGGGGTTTTTGAAGAATCTTCATACTGATTTCCATAATGTTTTTACTAATTTACAGTCCCACCCACCACCTCACAGCCTTTCTAGCATTTGTTGTTGATTTTTTGGTGATAGCCGTTCTTTCTGGAACAAGGTAGAATCTCAGTTTTGTAATTTACATTTCTCTAGTGGCCAGAAATACTGAATATTTTTCCATTTATTTATTAACCATTTGTGTTTCTTTTTTCTTTCTTTCTTTCTTTCTTTTTTTTTTTTTTTTAGAAGCATTAATACATTTTAGTTTTTGTTTTGTTGTAAAATCAGGTTTGGTCCCTTATTTTGAGAGATCTATTTCTTTTGAGGTTTTTGGGGTTTTTTTGTCTTTTTTCCTTTTTATCACTACCAGGGATCGAACTCACGACCGCCTGCTTGCAAGGCAGGTGCTTACGCCGCTGAGCTAAATCCCCAGCCCCTTGAGTTCTTTATATATTCTAGATGTTAGTCCTCTGTCTGAGGAATAGCTGACAAATTCTTTTTCATTCTATAGATTATCTTCACTTTTGGTTGTTTTCCTTTGTTGTACAGAAGCTTCGTAATTTGGTTTGATCCCATTTAGTGTTTCCTCAGTATTTCCCATGCAACTAGGATTCTGTTCAGAAAGTCCTTGCCTATGCCTATTTTCTAAAAAGTTTTACCAGTTTTATCTTCTATCAGATTCTTTCTTACCATTTAGATTTTTTTTTAAAAAAATTTATTTTAAAGAGGGCAAAACAAAGCAGATCAGAAGAAAACAATGTGACACACATTTCAAAGCAAGACAACAGGCGATCAACAATATTTAGATCTTTGATCTTTTTTGATTTTAGTTTATTATATGGGTTCAGAATCAATCTTCTGCATGTAGATAGCCTATTTTCCCATCACCATTTTTTAAAGAATCTGTCTTTCCTCCAGTGTGTATTTTTGGCCCCTTTGTCAAAGACCAGATAGTTGAATGGGTCCAAGGTTTTTTTTCATCATCTCCTGTCTGATAGCCCAGCGGTGCAGTGCCTGCCTGGCAAATGTGAAGTCATGAGTTCGATTCCTGGTACAAAAAGAAAAAGGCATTGTCCTGCCCTTTTTTGTGACACTGTAGCTTCATAACATATCTTGAAGTCCAGCATTGTATTGCCTCCTGCTTTTTTTTTGTTTTTCAGGATCAATATTGCTATTCTAGGTGTGTTTTGGATCCATGTGAATTTTAGGGTTACTTTTTTTAGTTCTGTGTGGAATGTTATTGGTATTTTTGGTTGGGGTTGTATTAAATCTTCATCACTTTTGGAAGTACAATATGATCTTTCAGGCACTGTTGGTTCTATATATGGAGAAAAATGGTTAGCTTCTTACTTTCATATACCTTCCATGTTTTGTTTTGTTTGTCTGACGAACACTGTTTTCATTGTAGAGGTCTCTCACTTTCTTGGTTTAATCAACTCTCAAGTTCTTAAATTTTTCTTAATGTTACTGTGAATGGTATTTTCCTAATTTTTTTAGTTTTAGAAAAATGTAATTAATGGATTTATTCAAATACACTTAAATATTGTGTTTTGTAGGGAAATAAAAGGATCAAGAGAAAAAGTCTTAAGTGATAAGGACCTAGAATTGTTGTTAGATCGAAGTGATCTTATTGGTAAGTACCTTTCATGCTTTTACTTTTTGTTTAAACTTGGAAGTATACACTAAGGATAGTGACAATTCATTTGGTCACAATGGTTAGCAGCATTCAGTCAGTCTTTATTATTTCTCTTTTGGAGTCTTAACATTAGATCTCAAGTATTCATGGCATACTTTATCATGTGTCTTTTATGGAGAAGAACGTATTTCTAAACAGCAACTTTGTTGTTACCATGTTTAAGAGAATTAACAGTAATACTTTAATTTTTTACTCAATGCATTCAGATTTCCCAAAATTTTTACTGTGTACATTGATTGCTGTTTTTCGTTGTTTATAACACCCACTTCCCTTTTGATTTTCCATGCCATTGATTTGTGGGAGAGCTAAGCAAGCTACTTGCCTAATAAAATAACTATATCCTGCAATTGATTTTTCATTTTTCCCCTTTTATGTTGTTATTTAGTAACTTTCTTATAACCTCATAAATTGTTTTTGTTTAAATAATTTTAGATATTTAATTAGATTTAAGTGCCATATTTAGCCAAAGATAATGGTGCTTACATGATTTTATGTTAATACCAGGAGGTACATCATGTCTGGGTTTCTTACATTTTGTAATCCAAAATTGATTGGATTCAACATATCAACATATGCTATGAAGTTTGTTAGCCTTTATTTAACTTGATAGATATTATCAAGTATTATCACCCATTGATGGTTGTTTAGAACTGTTATTTCTTTAAAGTTTATAAAATGATTTTTTTTGTCTTTAGAATTTATCTACTAGGAACTTATCCTTAACACCTTGCTTACTGATTATTTTACAGCATACATATATAATTTGTACTCTTTGTATTTGCATTTTCTGTGATGAAAGCACTATTTGGTGTGCTGGAACTTGTCTTACCATTTTCCTGGTAACTTGAAGTCGATGATGATAGAGAACATAAGCATCATACTGGAAATTTTGGGGGTTAGCATACTGTTAAAAAATACATATTATAATAATATTTCTCTTTTAGATCAAATGAAATCCTCAGGACCTATTAAGGAGAAGATGGGAATATTCAAGATACTAGAAAATTCTGAAGATTCCAATCCTGAATGTTTGTTTTAAAGTGGAGCTGAAAAAAACCTTAAGTTACTGTTTACATCTGGTGTTTTACATATTGGTTTTCAAATCCAGATTGTCCACTTGACTTTTTAAGCTAAAACAGTTTACATAATATAAGTAGTACCCTTGTATACTTAATTAATTTCCTGAGCTGCCTTAAGAACAAAATTCATCCTAAGTGTAAACTTTCAGTTAATTTTTGAGGCTAGGTAGTACTCTTGGGTATTGTCTTATAATGTACTTACCCATTGCCAGATTTATACAGTCTTCCTGTGGAAGTTTAGTAAATGTCTTTTACCCCTTTTCTTTTAGCGGTGCAGTTCAAGGGGATTTGATACTTCAGTTATGGAGTAGGCTTTCAATGAGGGCTTTATTGGAGTTATGCTTTCTATTGTTGAAATAAGAAATTATTTGATTATAGTCATTTAGATAGTTTACCAGATAAAATTTCATTATGTGGTCATCTCATCAATTGTGTGGGAAGAAATAGTTCAGGTGAAACAAGTGCCAATGACTTGACTGGTATTGGAATTCAATGTGCTGGCTTGGTTTCATTTACTGGTACAATAAGCATATGTCATACAATGATTTATTGCATGGACACAGGGAAGGCTTTGGAAGAAATTGCAGAATTCTGACAAGAAGCCAGAAATTGGATGTGATGGTATATTGTACAAGAATAGGACAAAAGAGGAGAAACCCTAGAAATTATAATAGGAGGGGAAGAAATACAATCAGACGAAAGAAATTAAGACCAAGGGATAAGCCAAGATTTATAATCAAGGAACATAAAAACTAAAAGGAGAACAGTTTAGGCCCTGCATGGAAGGATATTAGACTGTTAAGAAAAGAGACCTAGAATGGGGAAATGTTCTCTGAACCATATATTTCAAAACAGTTAATAGGAATTGTTATCTTATACTCATAGGCAGATCACATAATAGTGTTAGGATAATGGAACTAAGGCTCAAAAGAAACATTTTGAGAGAATATTTTATCAAAGAAAAGGACAATATTGAACAGGTTTTTCATTTTGTTTTAGTAAGTCAGACTTTAACCACATAAGCATGCTGACAAGTATTTCCTGAAATTCATGGTCACAAATTTAGTGACTTGCTTAATAGTTACACAAACTTTTCAGTCTTGCTTTCTTACATTGTCATGAGCTTCATCTCTTGTCTTTATGTATCTAATAACTCTCTCTTTACTCCCTATTCCACTGAGAAAATAGGAACAGCCAGAAAAGAACTTTTAGAGGTTGTCATCACTATATCTATAAGCCTACTTAATTGTTTATCTTTCATTTCTTCCATTACATTTTTTTTGTCCTAGTCACAGCAACTAAAAGACCTTTTCCTTTTTTTATTTTTTACTTCAAACATTGTCTATATTCCTTGTTTTTAATTTGCCTTTTTAATGTCTCCAGTGACCTCTGAAATTGTTTTACCTGATCTGTCAACATTTTGTATTATTACTGACTCTCCCCCACAAAAGGATTTTACTTTGCAGTTAGCAAACACGTTTGCTTCCATTTCCATCCTCTGATTGGTTGGTTTGCTTTTCATACGTCTGACCTCTAAACATTGTGTCCCAAGTAGGCATTACTTCTTCCTTAATGATTTTACTTCATAACTCAAGACTACCCTAAATCTGAGTTTATGATCTTCTCTAGCTCAAATTTGTTCCTTTTAAAACTTTCTTATTCTAGTAAATGCCAGCTCTGTTCTTCTAGTTGTTTATACTAATTTGGAATCATGATTTTCTCTTCATTTTTCTCTATGCTTCATATCTGAGTGTGTGTATACTTTTTAAATATATCCAGAATTCTGCCACGTCTCACTGCCTTAATATGCATTAATAGTTTCTGCATCTTTTAATACAGGTATATAACAATTTTTGATTGGATCATTCTCCAGATAAGATACGGGATGTATTATGATTATATTTTCACTTTTTTTTTTTTTTTTTTTTTTTTTTTTTTTTTTTTTGGTGGTGTAGTGGTGATGGTTATGGTTTGAGATTTTAATTGGGAAGTGTTTTCTCAGAATTTTGAAAATTTTTAGACAGGATCTTGCTATGTAGTTGTGAACATTTCCTTCAAGTGATTGTTGTTAGTCCTTTTTATTTTGTATTCTTTAAATGCTTTAGGATCATTGACTGTTCTTCATATTTGAGAACAAACAAGGGCTTGCAACAGGTAGGTTTCATTGCAGTGTATTAACTAAATATTTGAGAGCTTCTCCTTTACCAGCATACATAGTGTGCTTTGTGAGAGAGAAATCCTCTAGTCTGTGTATATATACTTTGCCAGTTTTCTTTTGGGGCAGAGAGGAACAAATGGGTTTTGGAGATTTCACATTTGCAATATAGACATCCCTGGTTTTAGTAAAGTTCTGCAACCTGCTACCTCAGCTTTTTATCTGAATTCCCAAAGCCCCAGCACATACTAGTCACCTTTTTCAGGAAATAGATTCCTTTCAGTTTTCTTCCAGTATGAGGGAGTAGTAATCATTTTACAAGGAGGTGGAGCTTGGGGTTTAACTGCTTCTTTAAACCAGTTGTACTAGAGTGTTTTTCTTGACAGCTTGTATCTAGAACTGAGACTTTTAGTTCTTCAATATAGTAAAACAGTTGCCACTCATACATTTATTTTCCACTTTCTAAAATCTTTTGTTAACATTTCTCCTATTACCTTATCTTGGATGTTTAATGCTTCTTTTGTCTTTATACTGGCAGTTTCCAGACCTTTATCAAGGGGCAGTGGGGAGCACATGTTCTCCCTCCATCATGTTGAAACAAATGCTCCATGTTTTACTTACATAATAAATTATTCTCAAAACTGAGCCTTGTCTTTTGTAACATGGTTACACAATGAAAAGAACTTTTTTCTCCTTGCTTGTCTCATGAGTCTTTATTCAGTTTTGGATTTGGTTTAGTGGAGTTTTTTGTTTTGGGGATGCTTTGGCTTTGCTTTTATTTTGCTTTTGGTAGTGCTGGGGATCAATGATGTGCTAAGATGTGTTTCCATCCCTATTGTTACTGCTTGCATGTGTTGAAAAATACAATGAAAATGGTATTTGAACATTTTCAGGCAAGCATGTTTGATGTTCTTTAATTAACAGTTGTGTATGATTACTTTAGTTTTAGTGATTTATGGTAATACTTTATGAGAAACCTGCAAAGTACAGTGTTTATGTTAAAAACATTAAATGCTTCTGATAGCTTTAAGTTCCATTCTTTTTGTTTTAAAAATGTACAGTTAGAGATTGCATTTTTTGAGAATCTTGCTTGGGCAACTTAGTTGAGACCTCTATCAGAATAAAAACTAAAAAGGACCAGAGATATGGTTTAGTGGTAGAATATCCCTGAATTCCATCCTTAGTGCTACCACCTCACCCCAAAAAATTTCCATTGTTTGATTAGTCCATATGTACTATTGGTTTGTACATAGCACAAATATTATCGTTATTTTAAATACCATCAATTCCAGATAAACAAATTATGGTTATAAAAATCACACCTACAGTGTTACAAGTAAAATTGGAAAGATTTCTTTTTGTTTTTATTTCTATGACACTCACTTAGTTTGCTACTACTCCTACATTTAGAGATGAGAGCTTGACCAAAATGTAGTGAAGCTTGCTTGCCTATCAGTGTGTATTTTATATCCTTGACTTCGCCAAAGATTCTAAATAGGTTTGATTAATAAAATGTTTTTAAAAATTAATAATGAAGATGTTTTCATTTCTTAGCTTTTATTTTTTGTTTACAGATGTAAAACTAACCCTAAAACTCCCCTTGTAGTTCTATTGTACATGACTAATACGTTTAACATACCAATCTATGGGAACCAAGTCGAATAAAAATGTTCTCTTAGACATGGCTTGGTGCTGACATAATTTGAAAACAGAAGTACTTACAGGTGGTTGTATGCTTATAAGGTGTTAAAGTCAACCATAAGATCTAGAATATACATTCATTTAGATTTAACTGAGATGAATGTATGCTTAAGTTTTGTTGCTGTGTCTACCAGTTGCAGTTTGAGAAACCAAGGCCTAAAGAGTGACTTGCCTGTAAATTTTCCTGTTTTTGTTTGTTTATGAGTCTGTCTTCCTCCAGTCAGATGAATCTGTAAGCCTCCAAGTTTTCTTTTTCTTAAGTTTTATTGAGGTCACATGGTAAGAACAATGGTGCAAGAGTTCTTCGATGTACAGTGCTCAGTTTGGTGTGCACTGTACATCTATGTATACCTGTGTAACTGTCATTCACGTTAACATTTCAGAAGGTTCTCTCTTCCCATATAATTAGCCCCACCAGTGGTATATGTATTCCCATGCATCAATTAAACAGCAACTACTATGTCAGGTTCATAAATTAATGAAGTAAATATTAGATCTGCTACTAACTCTGATTTCTAGATATTTGAAATGAAAGGAAACCCATTGTAACATTTTATCAAATCAAGATCTCTGACGTGACTGTTGTACCTTTTGCTGAGAACCAGCACAGACTCAACTTGGGAATATGGTCTGGTAAGAGGTTTTGTCCTACCCTGTCAGTGATGTTTTTGTTTATTGATTACCCTTTGTACTAGAACCCTACTACAAGAGAAATGCTGCTAAAATACTATATTACCCAGTGTAAGACATAAGTGAGGTGAAAGTTTGGGAACTTCAGGTCTGAGCAAACCTGAGGAGATACACTAGCAATCTCAAATTATAAAAATTCAGCATTGGTCAGCTCATTGTTAGGACTTGATACTCAGATGTATTCCTTATTTAGATTCTAGCATGGCCATTCAGCACTCATTCATATCTTATGCTAGCAAAATCTGAACAAGGGATCCCACTCTTGTTGACCTACCTCTCATTATGCCAAAATTGGCATCTTTGCTCTCTTGCCACCACCAAATAAGAGCCTGTTGGAAGCATAAGGCATGAATGAAGTTATAGGGAAAAGTCAAGTGAAGACTGACTTGCACACACCTATAATCCTGGTACTCTGGAGACTTAAGGCAAGAGGATCACTGAGTTAAAGGCCAGACTACATAACAAGACCCTACCTCAAGATTATAAATAAATATCTTAATGTACTATTTCTTTTAAGAACATGAAAATGATACGGGAATGAAACTCCTGATCTACTATGTCCAGTACGAGTTTGCACTGTCTAAAATTAAAGAATGAATGTTAGGAACAATGGAGGTTAAGACAGAAGGGGTCTTGAGCTAGTTTCCAAGGACTTTTTTTCCAGAGACTATACAGTAAAATCGGGATGAGGTGGATTTAAGGTGGAGAAAACGGAACTCACAAAGTAGATGGCCACAAAGTGGGACAGAACTATGGTTAACCAATAAATTTAATAGTTGAGGTTAAATTGATTAAATTGGGGACATGGAGAAGCCAGTCAGATAGAAAGGCATTATTAGAGAGCAGTGACTTCCTAGGGTCTTGAAATGGTTATTTGACTTCCTCAGGATGATAGAGAACTATTTAGGATATCAGTTCTTAGGCTATAGATGTATTTGATCTTTTGTCTTGAGGCTTGGCCCACAGCGGGAGGTACTTGGCTCCCCCATAGTTGCAAGGTATCGGCTTCTGCACTGGCTGTTTTGAGGACCTAGCCCTGTCTCTACCTATAGTATTTCTAACTCAGCTGTCTGCAACAAGATGAGTGGGATAAAAACTAATATAAATGGGAACCAACATACAATACCTTTTTTAGAAAAACATTTCCTAGAATTTAGGAGAGAGAACTTCACATTGGATTATTTTAAGTGGTAAATGGAAAGGGGAAAAACCCCATATCTCCATGCATTATAGACAGTATTAAGTCTAAAAACGTTTCAACTGTAAAAGGGAAAAACATTTATTCAGAATAAGGGGACTTCCGGGAGAACATGGCGGACAAATAGCAGCCACGGAGGCTCTCTCAGATTCCCAGTTTAGAATCCAGGAGTGGTGCCGTGTGAGGAGTCCTATGTGAGGGGAGATGTACCCTGCTGACCCAGGAACGAATTAAGCTGAGAGAAACCAACTGGAAATGCAATCCTGATGCTATAATAGGAACAGATAAAATCTCAGTGCAGAAGCTGGATCCTGCGCCATTGGAAGCTGCGATTTGAATTTCCTGCTGCCGATACTGCATCCCAATCCACACAGCAGGGAGAGAGACATGCAGAAGCTCTGAGAGCTGGAATCGGCGAACCAAATAGCGTTGAGAGTGAGACTGGCAGGGAGCCCTGCATTGACCTGTGGTGAGTGAGAGAAATGGGGACCCTTTCATAGACTAGGAGGCTCCAACAGAGGACATTCTGGGAACGAGTAGACTAGCCGGAACAGGGTCATGCAGTGACTTTAGTCGCATATTCACCTCTCAAGCGGAAGTGGTGGGGAGCGCTTGACCTGGTGACGCCACAGACTAAGACCCAGTAGGCTAGCCCAAACCAGGTCCCAGCATCTGGAGGTGCACCCTAGCAGTGAAGCATTCAGTAGGTTGACCTGGAGGGGGAACACCTAGCAGGCAGATTCAAACAAACTGTAACAGACAAAGAGAAAAAAAAAAAACTGGGCCTCCTACAGAAGCTTGTATGGAAGGGTCAAAAAGTATGGGAAAAGGGAGCAACAAGAAAGGGTCCTCAGTCCCCAATCCTGAGAACACTTATCCAGGAAAGGTAAATGCAAAAGAGAATGAAGACAGAAAACATGCAGTATCAGACACAGCACCTATAAAGTGGTATGCCTCATAGACGAGTTCAAAAATGAAGTATTTAATGAAATAAAGCAAGAAATAAGTAGACTAGTTAAAGAAATGCTAAGCACCGCCCAAGAAAAAAACAGATGGTGTAATGGAGGAACAGAAAAAAAGGGGAGAATTGTTTGATGGAGAAAATAGGGAAAACAGAATACATGAAGCAGGTTCAAAGAGATTACCAGGAAACTAAAATCTATTGAAAGCTGGTATAACATCTTGAAAGAAACTAAGGATAGATTATCAGAACTGGAGGACAGATTTGTAAGGTGGGAGCATGAAATGAAAAACTTAAAAATAACAAGAAAACAAACAGCAATAATACAAAGACTAGAAGATGATAAGAGGATCTATAACTTAAGAATTAAAAGAAGAAGTAGGGACTCAAACAAATGAACTACAAAAGCTATTCACAGAAATAATCCAGGAGAATCTCCCTAATTTAGCAAAAGGTAAAGATACTCAGATGTGGGGGCTGGGGATTTAGCTCAGCAGCATAAGCACCTGCCTTGCAAGCAGGCAGTCATGAGTTCGATCCCTGGTACCGGTAAAAAGGAAAAAGACAAAAAAAAAAAAAAAAAAGATACTCAGATGTATGAGACATACAGGACCCCAGCCACCTACAACCCAAACAGAGCTACACCCAGGCATATAATTATCAAAATTCCAGAAATCCAATATAAGAACAGATTATTAGAAGCCATCAAAGACAAGAAACAGATCACTTACAAGGGAACACCCATCAGAATTACAGCAGACTTCTCGGCACAAACCATCAAATCATGAAGAACGTGGGGGGAAATAATTCAAGCTTTGAAAGATAATAACCTCCAGCCAAGATTGATATATCCTGCACAACTGTCCCTAGAAATTGATGGAAAAACAAGGTGCTTCCAGGATAAAGAGGAACTAGGGAAATTTGCAACCACCAATTCAACTCTACAGAGATTACTGCAGGATATTCTAAAAATGAAAAATACCAAGATTCCAGAAATAGTGGCAGAGAGGCCACAATGAATGGAGCAGAAAGCGAAATGAAGAGGACAAACTGACAACTAATGACAGAAAAATAGCTCAACAGAAATGAGACAGAGAAGGTTGGATGGTAGGAACAGCCATTTTGGAGAAAACAAGACATCAT